GGGACGCCAAAAAAAAAAAGGACCCTACAAAACAAACAGGTACCTTGACAAGCTCCAGTCTCCAGTCAATCAATCATCAACTCATATCTCTCTGGGTGACCCATGGCGGTCCTTGGTGGTCCTTGGTGGCATTTGAGGCGACCCGCCCGGGCCCCACACCCCCCTGTAGCTTCCCTGCTGGCGTCCCTTGTCTTTGCGGCCAGGAGCGCCAGCGGCATTGATTGGACTACGCGACAAGAAGAGCCAATGTACCACACACTGCTGCCCTCCCTATTATTTTTCCCAAAGCCCATGAAAGCGAGACAGACAGACAAGCAGCAAGGAAATTAAATAAGAAGCGGCAGCACGAGTTTTCTGTGCCCTCCCTCCTTCTCCCCTTCTCTTGTTCTGTGTACTCGACGCCTCTCATTCCTCCAACAAAGCAACTCTGCTTCCCTTTTTCTTCGCCCACCAAGATCCAATACTCGTGATCTAAAGAGGTGTATTACTCCCCCCTCCATCACCAACCCAAAGCAACCAATACAGTACTCGACTCCTACTTGTCCAGTATTTGCTCGTTGTTAATTTTTCTCTATTTCTTTTCAGTGATACCCACAAAAGAGTTGTTCTTTTTGATACCCAGATTTTTTCTTCTCACAAAATAATACACAATGGCCGACGTACAGAAGCCCGTTGAGGTCCCTGAGGCCGCCCCTGTTGCCGCTGTTGAGCCCGTTGTCCCCGAGACCACTCCCGCCGTTGAGGCTGCTCCCGCCGCCGAGGCTCCTGCCGTCGAGACCAAGACCGAGGAGACTCCCGCCGCCGCCGAGACCGCTGCTACTGAGGCCCCCGTTGAGGAGGCCAAGAAGGAGGTCAAGCCTATTGAGAAGGGTCGTCTTGAGCACAAGGCCTCCCCCGCCAGCTTCCCCAAGTAAGCAGCACCCCAAGAGCTTAAGCAAAGTCGATATGCAAGTCCAGAGCTAACTTGGCGCAAAGGAACCTCGTCTACAGCAGCCAGGAGTTCTGGTTCGGCTCTGAGCCCGTCACCTCCGAGAAGCTTACTGCCTACCTGAAGGCTGAGAAGGCTACCGATGTTGCCCACCACGTTGCCGCCTGGGCTTCCGAGACCGGAAAGGGTCTCCTGTTCTACGGCAAGGAGTCTGGCAACCCCACTGGTGTCATCCAGCTTGTATGTCGAAATGAGCCTACTTGACTTATAACCTAGCATCTACTGACAGCATAACCAGGCCGAGGCTAGCGAGCCCACCGTTGACGGCAACCAGAAGTTCACCGTCCAGGCCAAGGGCCACAAGCACGTGTTCAAGGCCCCTACTGCCGCTGACCGCGACAGCTGGGTCGAGCAGCTCAAGCTCAAGATTGCTGAGGCCAAGGAGCTCGCTACTACCGTCACCGAGACTGAGACCTACAAGACGACTCTTGAGACCTTGAAGCCTGCCCCTGCCGCCAAGAAGGAGGAGAAGCCTGCTACTGAGGCCGCTGTCGCCGCTGAGGCTCCTGCCGCCACCGAGGAGGCTCCCGCCGCTGAGGCTGCTGCCGTTACCGAGGCTCCCAAGGAGGAGACCAAGGAGGAGGAGAAGAAGGAGGAGGCCAAGCCCCGCTCTGCCAGCAAGAAGCGCACCAGCATCTTCGGCAACCTGTTGAGCAAGAAGGAGGAGAAGAAGGAAGAGAAGAAGGAGGAGAAGGTCGATGAGGAGACCCCTGCTGTTGCTGCTGAGCCCGCTACCGAGGCCGTTGCTGAGCCCACCGAGGCCCCCGTCGCTGAGGCCCCTGCTGCTGAGGCTGCTACTGAGGTTACCCCCGCTGCCGTTGAGGAGAAGGCTGCTGAGCCCACCAAGCCTACTCCCACCAAGCGTGCCAGGTTAGTGACAACTATGATCAAGTGTCTTTCGACTACTGCTAACATAATTCTAGCATCTTCGGTAGCCTGTCCTTCGGCAAGAAGAAGACCGAGCCCGAGGCCGCTCCTGCTGTCCCAGCCAAGGAGACTGAGGCTACTGAGGCTGCTCCCGTGACCGAGACTGCCCCCGTCATCCCGGCTGTCGAGACCACTGAGCCCCTCTCCGCTGAGGTCGCTTCTCCTGCTACCGTCCCTACTGAGACCACCGAGGTTGCCCCCGCCACCAACGGTGAGACCAAGAAGGACCTGAAGGCCGAGAAGCGCAAGTCCAGCTTGCCCTTCGCTTTCGGCAAGAAGGAGAAGTCTCCTGCTTCCGATGAGGAGGGTGAGAAGAAGGAGAAGGCCTCTCCTTTCTCCAAGCTTCGCCAGACCATCAAGGGTAAGGGCAAGGCCTCTGAGAAGCCCGCCGCTGCCCCGGCCGAGACCGAGGCTGTTGCCGAGGAGAAGCCCGCTGAGGAGGCTGTCGCCCCCGTTGAGGGTGAGGCCGCCAAGGTCGAGGAGACTCCCGCCGCCACTGAGGCTGCTACCGAGGAGAAGCCCGCCGAGGCCGCTGCCCCTGCTGTCGCTGCCACCGCATAAAGCGCTGACGACCAGTAACGAGGAGATCGACTAGCATAATGGCTTGCCATGGTGTTGGTTAAGGTCGTTCCACATTTTCACGACTTTCATACATTGGTCGGGATCGGATTTGCATTTCCATGATACCCAGTCAAGCGGAAGAGGAAACAAGCGGCGCACAATGTCTTGTACTCAAAGCGGTTCCCTTCCGAATCACATCTGGCTACTGCATTGCGCGTTTGCTTGCTGGAAGAGCACAAGAGTTGCGATACACGAATTGGTTTTCCTTGACGCTTTTTGCATTGTCACTGTCTATTTTCTTTTGCTGATACCCAGTATACCCAAAGACAGTCGTTTTGGAATTTAGTCGATAGTCAACCGCACCAGCGATACCACAATTTTCATAAAAACCAATCATGAAAGGGATGGAGAGCGTATGGTGGGTGGATCATGTTCAGAATGGTAGTAGCTTGCATCTTTCACCACGTACCGGTGTATTTGCGGTTGCTGATGGGTCATTCGATTAATATCTAATAAAAGTAAATGTTTGAGCGCTGCTGTATTATACATGATCTAGTTTCAAATGAGTGATTTGAATCTATTGGTACGCATCTTGAGTCTATCCTTCTGAATGTCCGTTCTATATGAGCGTTGAGGTGGTTGCTATTTTTATTTTCACTGGAGTAATTCGTGTTCATTTGTGATTCATGGAGCTATTACGAACTCTGTTGCTATCGTCTTTCTTCCCATGGCAGAGTATTGGGAGACAGTAATAAACAACTACGATTGCTTTGTGCCTTGGATATACAGAGTACCAGTCATTTTTTACGACAAACTCTGAAAAAAGATATCATGTGCCCGATATAATATCGTAGAAAGGAAAAAACAAGTCAAAGGGCCCAAAACGAGCCTTTGGTTTCGTCTCAGAGCCACCAACAAACAGGACAGTCTCGTCCTCCAGACATGTTTGTCTTGCTTCTGTGGGCCGGCGCTACTGTGTAAAGTCGCAGGCAATGTTACCCAACATCACAATCGTATCCAAGGGGCATGCCCGACACTCGACGGCGGAAAAGAAAAACTATAAAGAATATTGGGATCCTGATGAATATCATCGTTTTGTTATTGGGTGATATATAGGGTCGCCATAACCGGAGAGCGTACTTTATATGAATATAGCTCGTGGGTCCGGCCATGAACCGTTCATCGATCAGGGGGCTACGCCAAGATTGATCGAGGTAACAGTGACTCTCAAGCTCCCACAAGAGTGTCTTTTATCTTATCCCTCCCTTGTTATTGCCTGCTCTTCTGTCCATGTTGTCTAAGATACCGATCAAGACGGATACGAGAGGAGCAATGGGGTGCCACATGTCGAGCACGTGGCTTGGTGCTTCTTTGGGACATGATTTATAGAAGAAGAAAAGAGACGAGAGATTGTTCTCCATGATGCCAATACATGAACCTAACCTAGATGATTCAGTAGACCAGACTTTCCCCTTCTATATGTCCATTAAAAGGGCATTTATGTAGGTTGTTATGATACGCCTGCATGATGATGACTTCGTTCACTATAAACAATTTCCATGAAATCAGTAAACGTCAATCCAAGTCGTATTGGATTTTCGGAGATATACTCGCCACAGCTATGGAAGCGATGAGGCCTGAGGATTGGTGATTTCCCACAAACGGGTCTGTAGCAAGTGAATCTATATTCTGGATGATGCATGAGAGGCCCCATTGTAAGACTACTATATTTATCCCAAGCCCGAGCAGTAATTGTTTTTTTTTCTGAACGTTTTGTGATTAGAATACATTGGTTGCCTTGCATAGAAGAGCTACTCAATGTGAGGGGACTGATAGGATCTCGGCAGTATATGGAGCCACGATGAATCAGAAAAGAACAGATATAGTGAAATCTACAGGCCTATTGCTTTCAGCGAGGCCGAAAACTTATGTGTATTCACATTATCGAGTTTTCTAGGTAACTGAATTGATCGTCGGCATACCGTGATGCCTGACTATTTCAAATAAATTTTGCCCCCAACGCCTACCCATGCAAACTGAACTCCCCCGTTGCCTCCAGAAGGCCAGGGCTAGCATGAACGTCGTTCCAGCGTCTATCGCAATCTCTTCTCAACTTTTCGGTGTGTCTCGAGGGTTGGGACCCAAACCCGTCATTAGTGGAAACTAGTATGCTTTTCGACTTGGTAGGGCTGTGTTGAATATCTTGTATGAACGTATGGTTTGAAATATCCAGCTTAGGCAGCAGTGTCGAGAAGAGTGAGGATGGGGTAGTCGCCCAACTTCTCGCGGCCCTTGAGAGGCGAGATCTCAATCATGAAGAGATATCCAGCCAGAGTTCCTCCGAGCTGGCTGATAAGAGAAGCTGCGGCAGCAGCGGAACCTCCTACATGTATGTGTCAGTTGGTCGTCCATGGACGCTGGGCATCCCAATGAAAATCAATAGTAGTAAAGGCATTGCGTGGTGCTCAAGACAGGTGAGTGCGATCTCGCAGACCAAAAAGCCAAATTCGAATATGTCCCGGTTTTCAACAAACGGTTGGTTCATCTAGCGTCCGTGGAAAGACATGACCTGGAACCCGCAAAGACTAGGTAGACTTTGCAGCATGTTGTCTGCCGCAAGACTGGGCACTTGTCCCAAACTACTGCGATCCTAACTGCCAAACCAGAAATGTTGACACTTGCTTGCGATCGGACGAACCGATGGTGCATGTGAAAGCCCAGTTTCGTCATTGGTAGCAGAATTTCAGGTGTGTCAGGAGAAACCCGCCGCAGAGTCCTCGGCCAACACTATACTGGTAGAAGACCAGGTGCAAAGAAGCAAATAACGTAATAACAAGCGCCTATTACTAGGCTGGTATCGACTTACCAGTAGCGATGATGTCGTCGACAACCAGGACCTTCTGTCCCGGCTTGATAGCGTCCGACTGCATCTGGAAGTAGTCTGTGCCGTATTCCTTCTCGTACGCGGCAGTCACGGTGGGACCAGGAACCTTGCCCTTCTTGCGAACAGTAACAAAGGAGCAGTTCAATCGCAGAGCCAGAGAGGGGCCAAAGAGGAAACCGCGGGCATCGAGGCCGACAATAACATCGGGAACGTAGCCCAGGGTCTCCCTGATCTGCAGCTCGAGAACCTGGAGCAGAGCGTCAAAGGTCTTTGGGTCCTGGAAGATGGGCAGGATGTCGATGAAGTCGATGCCGGGAATGGGGAAGTCGGGAAAGTTTCGCAGAGCAGCCAGGACGCGCTTCTTGGTAGCCTCGCGATCCGAGGTTAGCGGTTGACCGGGGAGTTGGGGGGCACCGGCGGCGGCGGCGGCGGGCTCTCGTCGCGGGGCATCGAGGACGGTTGAGGAGGTAAGTCCTGGTTGGTAAGGGTTGGTGGCGGCGGAGTCTGCTGTGGCGCTGCCGGAAGAGGTGGGCGCACTCATTGTGAAGGTAGAAGGGGGAGAAGAGAGGAGGGGAGGAGGAGGAGCGAGAAGGGATGTATGTATAATAATATCTGTATCAATCAGCGAGGGAGAAATTTTTGCGACCTGAGCGTGTGCAGTACGTGCTTGGTGTCTGTGGTCTCGGGAAATCGGGCTGGCTGGCTGGTGCTTTGCCTTGGTGCTTGTCTTGGTGCTTTGGTGCTTGGTGCTTGGTGCCGGGCCTGGTCTGGGGGGTGTGCCACGAACAAAAAATAAAAATAAAATAAAACAGGCACAGCACACACTGGGGGAAAAGCTCAGACTTTCTGACTTGAGCGGAGGAACGTACAGTACGTGAGGGGAGTAGGGGGGGTTCTTTGGGGTCTGTCTGTCAGTCTGTCTGGGATGGAAAAGCAACGCAGATCTGGAAGAGGAAGGCCGGACAGGGTTCTAGGTGAGACAAACAGGGCAAGGTTTCTTCTGACAACGCAGAGGAGGTTGGCCTAGTGAGCGAGCGATCGGACGGGTTGGGATTGGTGTTGGATTTGGGATTGCAGCAGCAGAGACGTAGGTTAGGTAGTTCGGGAATTGCGACGGGATGGGGATGGAATCACAACGGTGCTAGCCTTGGCCTGGCTAAAATACCTTGCAATAGATAGATAAAATAAAGAAGTAGGTACCTTTGGGTAGCAGCAGCAATAGCAACTGAGTAAGTAGTAAGCAGACAAGTTGGTAGCAAGCGAGTTCCTTCTTTTTATTAGACCATGAGAAATTGCGTGCGAGTGAGGGAGAAGAAAAAAAAAATTCTAGTTTCGTCACCAAGGCAAGGGCCGACTCGGATAAGGGCCAAAATGACATGGAAGTAAGTAATAATTAAAAAAAAAAAAAAATCTAACAAACCAAGACAACCTGTATAAACAAGGATTAAATTGCCTATCTGACTACCTACAAGGAATTCAGAATACGACACCTACCATACTAATAAACTTGATCACACTCTGGAAGACATGGACTGCCCAGCCAGGTACAGATGTACGGTACGCGAAGGGTCTCAGTGCTGAATACAAGACAGGTTATAATTACCGCGCATACAGTGACGACGGTGGACCAAACAGCTGCCCAACAAGAATGTGGTATTACCTTTGATTCGCTACATGGTGACAGTGCCGAGAGCCAGGCACTGTACTTTATTGTGCCGCCATTTTTTGTCTTCTCGTGTTTCATGTGGTGTCTGCCTGTCTATTATTCACCTTCAACTTTTTTTTCCGAATTGCCGTCTCTTTTGGTAGCGGCTATGACAGACTTGACTTTTGACAATAGAGGGGTAGTTAAAATGTCCAGGGTCGCGGTTCGCTGGACCATGTCGTGAGGATTTGGCGGGGCAGATGAGGAAAATCTGCACGTATCTGCTATCAGTCCCCGCCTATATTTTTTTTTATCCTTTAAAAAAAATCCTTATCCGCGGGCGGGCGCCAAGTATTCCGCTCCCTGCCTATCTAGGTTAACCTCAGTCCGCTACAAGTATATGCCGTAGCTATCTTTGGTAAGCCAGAGTATGGGATCTTCATACGTTTCATTACCAGAGCAAGTCCAGACTCTTAGACTGCTGCCCGAGATGCAGGTAAGCCTGTTTTTTTTTTTCCCTCCTTCTTTCCTCTGTGCCACCGAATAGCTCATTGCTATTCTTAGTTAGAAACGAGCCTGCCGACTTGATTCCGTCTCTAAGATCCCCGTACATATGCCTATGGTTTTATGCGAACCCCCCTCCAAATCCCTTGCCATTATGTGCTTTCTTTTCTTCTACGAGAAAGCAGATTGGCATTGACTTTCCCGGATGCCGTCCGCATGAGTCAATATCTAGTCATATCGAAACATTGTCACCCACAACACGATGCTGATGAGACGTCTTGTCTTCAACTCAGGCGATACTCTAGGCAAATGACGAGCCCTCGTGGGATAGGTTGGTGGGCGTTGCAGGGGTGGAAGGGGTTGTAAGAGGCACAAACATATCCACCGTCTGGCGATGCCACCATACCCAACAAGGGCTAAGACTCATGCAGCCACTTTCTGGCCAAGAGCCTGACTTTGGGGTCTGTTCTGGCCCGAATTGGCCTGGCTGTACAGCCTGTACTGCACAAGAGATGATCCAATTGCTCAATGAAGTCATTTGCAGGAAGCAGCGGGGCGGTCAGAAAGAAAGAAAAAGAATACAGAAAAGCAACGAAACCTCCAAAGAAATGATCCATGTCCAAAAGGTAGGTGCTGAAGGAAAAAAAAAAAAAAAAAAGAAGAGTATGCTGCTGCTACCTTACCTACCTACTGGCTGCATGTGTGCGGCTGGTTGAGCACATTACACACACAACGTACAGATAGACAGACACACATGGGCTATGCTGCAATGTCATGTACGTGATCTGAACCAATGCGGGTGCGCGGAGCATTTGTTGCTGCCATCAAGGGTTTGTCGTTGAAACGGCTTTCACAAAAAAGACATGCCGATTTGACGCAGCGCCAGAGGACCACACTGACGTTGCAAAGGGCGATTGTGATACACAAGCTCAATGGAGCCTATCATGGAACTGGTCAACATCAACTCGGACGCTTTGCCATCCAAAGTTCAAGACATGCTCCGAAAATGGCCCGCGGCTGAATGAGTCGTATTCCCATTCACAGAGAGAGCGGTGGGTGCCTGGCGATCCCATCCCCATCCCCATCCAAGCCATCCCATACACCACCCGTATGCCCCTCAGGGTTGTTCCGGCTGCACTCCGACTTATATGTCTATCTTTGAGTTGCATCCAACACATCATGGCATTCACCGGTGACCAATGCTTTGCACCCATTCCGGATCTGTGTGAACTGAGCCTCAATACCTCAACTCCATCCCTCGAACCGATGTGTCAGGGTTTATAGCTGGCGGCTATCAAAAAATGATAAGAAGCAATGTGAAATACAGAAGTGCTCCAGCGAATCGCGAGCCAGATGGCTCCTTTTGAGTTTACTCTTGTGTAACTGTCCGGGAAAACATCAATGGATAGCTATCAAGTTTGCAGAGCTATGTCGTGCTTTAAACTGCATCATGCAGAACCACCACTATAAGATGCATGTTTGATGCAGCGGGAACCATACTGCTTGTTCTCTCCATAAGATTATCAGAAAAACTTCAAAAGAAAATTCACCATCAGATTCGGTCACTGCATTCATCAATAATCGAGATATACAAAAATACGTAATACTAGTATTTTATTCTTTTCTTTTGATCCTCCTGACTTGCACTTGCCCTTTGCGGGACAAGCCGGTTGTCCTTTCGGCGGGTGGTAGTTTCCCTCCCCCACACCAACAATCACCAGCAACCCGCGACTTGCCATTATGTACCTACATTACCCGTGAGATTAAAGACAGGCTTCAATGTCACAGCCACTCATCAACATCCCACTTGACCCTTTGTCGAATCGTGGACGTTCCGTTCTACCAGGTGTTTGTTCTCCCAAGGCTATGATGACCTGTCTCCTGCCCGTACTTATTAACAACCCTTGCTTGCTTGCGATATAGGTCAGGGTCGGTGACAGCGAGGCGCGCATTGATTCGATCAGTCAACCGTGGGGTGTTCATCGACTGATGATGATTGTTTCAATCGAAACCCCCCACAGAACGAACCCCTAGAGCTCCATCTCCATGAATGGTATCGCGACACAACATGGTAATACGTAGCCAACTAGTACAGTAGGTCGACCATAGGACTTCGGGCACGAAACTGCACACCCACGCATCCGGAGCTCGAATAAAAACGATATCAGGCCTCACAGGCTAGCTGACTTGGATCATCGCCCAAGAAGCAAGGGCTCTCTGCCTCTTTGCGCACCAACCGCGCGTCGAATCATCTCGCCAAACATTGAATCCATTCGATCCCGTCGGCACAAGTCGGCACCACCACATGTGACTTACATCACTTTCCCCCCATCCCTCCATGACGCAGCCTTCATCAAAAGCGAGATACGGCCACATATACTGCGGCCACCAGCCACTGTATGTAACCCCACCTTATACAGGCGGTCTGGACTACTAGCGAAAGAAAACACCATCGGAACGCTCTCGAGAAACAGAGGCGTGAGGTGCATCTTCCACGAGGAGCATACTTATATAGTTCTCCGGCTCTCTAGCCAGGCCCCGGAGACCTTACCCGAAGGTGGGTATGGTCCAACGAACCGGAAATTCCCCTTTCTAGTGATTTTCAGCTTGTCGCGATAATAAGACACCAACCGTATGCCCTGCAGCCGCATACTTTCACAATTTGCTTTATAGCTTTTCCACTTCTCTAACGCACATGCAAGTCATGGAGGCTACCATTACGTTCTCGGTGTGAACTGGGTATACAACAGAGTGAGCGAATTCCAGCCGCGGCTTTGGAGAACCCAGAAGCCACTATTGCTACCGAATATACATAGTATATTGAGCCTGACTAGGGCAAACTTATTTTGTCATCCCTGCCCTTCTACACATGGCCTCTGACCATAGCAAGCCAAACCAGTGTGAGCGTGAATCGACATTCATTCTCGAAAGCTCTTAGGCGTGGGTTCAATTGCACCGCGGCCGGTAGTTCGCCGCTATATCCCGTGTCAGGAACCTATCTCCTGGTCCAAACTGTTGCGATAGTTGCCGGCGCATTCGGCCTGGCCGAACTCTGAGCGATATGGACACAGACACAAGATGGAAATTGCCATTTTGACTGCTAGCATATGATTATTGCTTTGGATGCCGTCGAGAAAAGCGCAACCGGCTTTCTGCGTTTGTTCCGGTCGAACCAAGCTCGGGGTTGGTCCCCGGGGAAACCATGTCGTTGCCAGAAGCAAATATTCATGCAATACGGTTTATTCCATTGCAAAAGCAATATCTCAGCGGCCTGCTTGCTCAAGTTCACTGCAGCGAGGCAGACAACGCGAGTCAGGACCTCGGCTCACCGCCAGTCCAGCTTCTACTAGGCACTTTTCAGGTGAACGTCGCTTACATCATGACTTCTAATGCGGTAAGAATCCATAGATTCCCAGCCTCCTACGGGGCCATGCAAAGCATCCACTACACGAGGCTGCAACACCTGCGGCTTGTGAGTAAAGTAAGAAATCGGAGCAGAACAACCCACATCTCAGCCTTGGCTTATCGCGGGTGTATTTCCTGGCCTTTGTGGGCAATGGCTTCGCTTTGGCATAGCACTGATATTGCCAGATGATCAGCTATCGAGACCTGCTGGCTTTGATTGATGACATCTGACAAATGTGCATTCTTATCGTCCAATCCCTTGTAATCCCGACCAAAGCATAAAAAAAGACTTGTGCCACAGCCCTACACCTGGACCAAGTCTGACGTCTTGGGCAATACATTATTGGAAGATACGTCTTTTCTCCCTGCCGCACCCTTTTCCATGTCCAATCACGAAGAGCAATATATGGCTCTCTGGCGATAACGCCGAGCAAGCTCCTTGATTGGGCACGAGGTCCAGTCTCGAATGGGATTCACCAAGAGGAAATTTCGAGCGATCGCGTAAAGATAGTGTCCAATCGCATCTTTTAACCTCGGGCCTCCCGTCCGATAGCGCACTTCAGTCAGCAATTTTCTGATATTCATATCGAGACGGGGCGCACATGTCGCAAAAATATCCACAACGTTTCTCATTCATCATGAGATTAATTGTGACTTGGAGATCTCCTGACGCTTCAATCGACTTGTCGCATCCTTGAATAGAGCAGTGATTCATGGGCAAGTGAGACTACAATCTCAACTCGCGCGGTGCAAAATAACACCTTGGACCAGCTGTGGAATACTTCATTCACCCCCCCAAAGAGGAGGAGAGACATGTAAATGGTCGCACGAGTCCAATGTTTCGTATTCAAGCTCGCGGAAGGGTGAGGAGTATCCTGCTCATCCCTCATTGCTGCTCCACGAATATGTCGTGCTACTAGCCAAGTATGGTCCCGATAGGGCGAAATAAGAAGCATCTTGTACAGCTCGTCTTTGGGAGCGTTCGACACGCAACGTGAAGTGCTAGCAGTGGAGGGACTGTTGGCCAGCCTGTGTTTCGAATCAAACCAACCCTGAAGCATGGAGTCAGTTGCAAAGACCACAAATAGTAGACATCTGAAAAGAGATTTTAAATGAAAAATTCTATACCAAGGAATTATGACTAGTTTAGTGAAAGGGGGTATCATTCATACTGTCGTCTAGTTTCGTCTTCGCATCATAAACAAAACAACCCACCAAGAACCATTGATACGCCGACCTTGCAAGTCTTGGAGCTCCAGTATATATATAACAACACCAGTCACGGTGTGCCATTCTAGGTTCGTAACTCCAGCATGCCCATCTACCTTGCGACAGTGACCACAGTTATTTCTCAAGCTCAGTGGAAATGCAGCCGGATAATGGAGAAGAGCATATTCTGCAGCACGTGCAACATGACAGCCACGCTGGTGGGCAGCAACTCGGGCCAGACGGCGAGATCCAGCTTGCCCTCAATGCTGGCATTGACGCCATAGATCCATCCAATCAAACCTCGGAGCACAATGCCTGCAATCAGCTCGCACGCCCAGGTGATGCTCGAGGCGTAAAAGGTCAGGTTGAAGTCGTAACCTTCATCACGGAGAGGGTCGTCAAAGGTGAAATAAGGGTACACCTCCTTGTTGGGTCCAAAGTGCAGCACCAAGATGCTGCCCAAAAAGGTGAGCATGCTCACGTTCTCGGCTAGGAATCGAATAAAGACGTCGCGAATACGAATCTTTTGATACGAAGCATAAGACTGGGTCGTGAGGCCAAGGAAACCCATGACTCGATGATACGTTGCCGACATGGTGATGGGCGTTATAATGATGAGCAAGCTGGATGAAAGGATTTGCAGCAAGACGAACTGCGAAGGTGAGCGGAGCCGCGCGTACAAAGCTCGCACATATGTCTGATATGTAAGCATGAAGTAGCTAGAAAGAAAAATTAGCATTTGAGAACAAGTTTTCCGAGCCGCGGTGCTTGTCTTACAGCTTAAAGATCCAGCTCAGGGGGTAGCTTCCCACTCTCTCCCCTTCGCTGGCACCCAGAATCCATCCAGTCAATGCGTCTAGCAGATGGACGGTTACAATCCAACTGTAGACATACACGACAGTTTCAAAGTTGTTGTGAGGTAAGGTTCTAAGATAGATCTCGGCATAGGCCTCTCCTATGAGGTATGCCAAGAGACCGACCAAAAGCGCAAGACAGAACCAGACGAAGCGCACAAAACTTGCGGGTAGCCAATTCCGGCGCAATGATGTCGGTATCCGGCCTCGAGCACGTGTTGGTGCCTCCAGCATGGAGTCCGGATCGAAGGTATTACTCCTCAAGCCTGGACGCCGGCGATTGTTACGCGTCGAGGTGGTAGTGTCAGGTTCACCCGTCCACCAAGAAGAGGTAAAGATACGCTGCGTCTCAGATAGGGATTGCCTGAGCCCAAGGTGTCGCTCGTTTAGCATCATAATGCAAAACGCTATCCCCACAGGCATGGCCATGATGACAAAAGTCCACGATATCCAAGCTGTGTTGTGTATAGTCAAAAAATTGAGTTCCGGCACCAGGTAGACGGGAATGGGGGCAGCAATGCTCAGGATAGCAATCATGGAGATTGTGAGCGGGAATCCCAGGGTCGAGGGCCACCAATTCAGACTGTACAGATTGAATACCTTGGTGATCCATATCAGGGCTGTGAGATTGTAGAAGCCATAGTACACGAACAAGAAGAACCAAAAGTTGACCTGGACGCGCGCTGCTCCGTGACCAGGCACCCGGTGATCGTCACCGATACCAGGATACAGGTCCGAGTCGTCTGGATCAAGGGGATACTGTGGGAACGGTATGGCGCACCAGATGACTGCCTATATACCGACGATCAGCTTTCTTGCCCGTCTCGTGTCGCTTCGTCATGACAAGACACTTACCAGTCCGGCCGGCAGAAAAATAAGCATGCCCCATCTCCTCCACCAGCTCTCGACGACCCGTTTGACAGCGTTCTGCTGAGGCGCGACCCAGAGGTCCTGCACATTCCGCGCCACAGTCCTGCCCGCCCTCTCGAGCCAGCTCACCTGCTCGTCATCGCTGTCGTAATAGTCATCGTCCGAGTCGTCGTCCGACTGGAGCGCGGCCGTCACGAGGGCGCCGTAGCCAATATGCACGCTGCCCCGGTTACCCGCCGAGAGCAGGGCGGCCAGGTGCGAGGCCGAGGAGGAGCGGTGCCGGCGGGGCCCGGCAGGGCGCGTATGATGCCAGTGGTGCTGCCCGCCGGCCGGGTGCTGGGAGGATCGCGGCACGGCGCGGAAGCGGCCGAGCAAGGGCGACGTGTCGGAGGCGTGCTGGCGTGCGGTGCGTGAGGTCTCGGTGCCCGGGATGAAGGGGAAAAATTCGGGCATCCTTGGAGGCGCGTTGTGAAACGAGCGGGTTCGTTTCGTTGTCGTTATTACATGCTATTGTTTCGTTATCATGCCCAAAATGATGTACAATAACAACAGTTCTTTCCTTTTTCCCTCGCTCTTAATTCGAATTAAGAAGCAGAAGAGAATCGAAGTTAGGTAAATTAGGGGGTTTCGATAGGTCTCCCTCTGGTGAAGCCAACTGTCTCTCTGACGTCCGAAAAGAAAAAGAAAAAAGCGCGGATCTGTTCGTCGTTGCTGAACGGGATGGATGAAACACTCGTCGTGTCTCGGCCGGCCACGGAAACTACGTGACTGTGGAATTTCCCAATGTTGACAGGGTCTCGCAGGGATCAGAGCTTGGTGGTTCCGCTGGGAGCTCCCCAAGTTTCCAGAACTTGGGCGCATTATGACGCTATTGGCATACAATGCATCTGTACCTAGGTGGACCCCTGGGCTGGAAACCTGCAGTGGGCTTAGCGGTTGGGTTGTGTAAGTTAACTCAAGGTTGAACCCGTTGTCACTTTCATGCTGTATGTACTCTGTACTCTGTAGCTTTTTGAGAGGGCAGGATCATGTACCTACATAGTACGTTGCATATGCCGAAGAGCTCACAATAATCATGCAATACTCGGTACACTGTCGAGAATATCTTCATTTCTGCATTTCCATTGCCATGGATTCACACTGGTAATCGAAAATAGCGAATTGGGCAAGTGCCAAACGCGCTTGGGCACGAATGTTAATCGATGGCTGGTACATAGTATGCATTAGTGAGTAGTGCCTCCACGTTTGAACCGCCAGCCTGCATCATACACACAGTACTTCGTACTGAATCGGATAGTGCGGGCTTGCCTGTCCACCAACACGGGTATAGAACCAGAACTAAGGCTTGGGGTAAACCACCTTCACCGCTCATCGCCTCGAGGTAACGTGTTGTTAGCACAGTCGTGATAACATCCTGTCAGAAATTCGGACGAGATCACGACGACGTGCTTACTTGCTAAAATGGATATGCCTTCGTTATCATTATGTATTCTTGGTAGCAGCAAAATACCTATGAGTCTCAGGCAGATTGACTTCATAATCATCTACAGGTATAATTATGTCAGAGAATGGCGGATGGGAATGATGTCTCTTGATGATTTATTTCTTTATATTAACATGCCGGCTAGAGTAACATAATTAATTGGTTTTTATTTCGCTTCATCTTGATGAGGCTGAGCGATGGTGGTCCATCTACCTTGCCGCCACTGCGCGATTGTACAGATTATTTATCCTGATGCAGGTCCTATTTTCAAATAATGAAGGCGCAGCATCTATGCTTCAGTCCGTTATCTTACAGGCCCTGCCGACGCAATTATATTTCTTCTCGTGCCCTTGGCCTTGACTTTGACAAGCCAGTGACGCCTGTAGATGAAAATAGATAAGCTGTGAGCCAAGGCCGGCCGATAGCAAGATATAGGCTATCTCTTCCCAGTAGCCTGGTGCCATATCATATCGCACGGGTATTTGATAATATAGTCGGATTGTGAGATGTTTGTGCAGCTTGTACATTGCGAAAGTCGACATGGTTCGTGTCGCCAAATTTAGAAAACCTCTTCAACACAAATGATTCGCACCAAATTCCCCGAGACTTTTTCCATGATAAAGTGATTGTGCTGACAAGGAGCTGTCCAAGGAGTTCATTGGAAGGCGCGCAAGTATCCTCTCGTGCCCGGTTTGTACTCTGCCAAGCGGGTGCTTAATGAGATACCACTGTCCGGGATGTGGTCGTCAAATAAGGGCAAGTCAGGAGTTAAGACAGTGAACCCAATCTTGCGGCATGATGTTCCGACCACCTGCATGTCCACAAAGTACAGCATCAATCTAAAGGTGTTGAGCCTGTATAACTCATGGGTACGTTCAGATTGAGCACCACTCGGAACCGAGGCTGGCCCCCCAGAAGGCATGGATGCAGCCGCTCGCCGTAAATGGAAACTCCGCGCCGCGTTCGGAATGCACTGGCATCACAAGGCCCCCATCCACCAATAGATTAGTCGCTATAGTCCGCTTCGCCATCTTCTTCCTCTTCATAGATTTCAGAATCTGTATGCTCGGGGTCATCAAAAGCGTCTACTTCGTCTTGGCCATCCTGATGATTATCAATGAATTGAATTGAGTCATCAATATGATCACCCGCAACAGAAGATGCCGATTTTACATCGTCGGCGAATCCGACCCGTTTCGGGGACGAAGCTGGTGATCTGGGGGATTCCTGCAGGACATCGCCATTCCAGGGTTGACACTGCTTGACCAAGTCACCGCAGCGTAGACAGGCCCATCCCTCGCCTTCTTCGCGCTCTAGCCGCGTTGCAAGACAAACGAAACAGTAGATGCACCCACAGGGCACCGTCTCATAAGGGTTTGTGATATCGGTCTGGGCAGATCCTACCACACCACTCGACGCGGCGGCGGCTAGGACCTCAGTCTCCGACGTGGCGGAATTCTGATCCTGATAGCAAATCGCGCAGGTTCTTTCCGGCAGGAAAGCAAATTCGCCCTGTTTGCCGTTTGTGTCATCCTCGCTGCTGATGTGGACAATTTCCTTGGTCTTTCGCCATGTCCTGCTCAACCATCGGCGCCAGCGATTAATACCAACAAGCGGTAAAACAAACAGTAGGAATTCAGTAAAGGCGTGCCAAACGAGTTGGCGGTTGAGGTACTCAAAAGACACCTCCCGGCTGACCTGACTTGTCGGCGGTACTAGCCGTAGGCGCAGGATCCTGTCTAACAATGTCCGGTACCGGCCGTGGAGGAGGAAAACCAAGAAAGAGGCGAATGCTGCCACCGAATGGATTGTTGTCAGGCGCGTAGTGATGGCACTGAGTCTCTGCACAAGAGGTGGAGGAGCGTCATAGCCATTGTCCTGATCGAGCAGCCAGTTTTCCCATTTCGTCCAGCCATATTTTCCTCCGACTGTGATCATGCCGTAGAACGCCTTTTGCCATTTGCTCGGCGCTACCAGGACCGATCCATCCCGGCGCGCATCTGTATATTTTAGATTTTGCAGTGCGGCGCCGTACGTAGCGTCGTGGTCCCAGATGGTGAGCTTGAAGAGCACCGCCCGAAGCGCGAAAGTGATCTCGGCCGACCAATCATCCTTAAGGTTTCCACCATAGTATTTCAAGGCATCGCCAACCTGGCCTTGGAGAAGGTCAACCAGCTCCTCATCCAGCAGCTCTGCGTCTACTTGGCCGACACGGAATGCCGGTCTTGTGCCCTCCCTCGATGATATGAGCTCCCATAGCGACAATGAAGAGCTACCGACGCGATTGAGCGGGTAAGGGAGTTGCGACACTTGCGACCATGCGCGCGAAGCTTCTCGTCGGGCATTGAGGCGTGCTTGCGTTTCTCGTTCTCGGGCTTGTCGTCGTGCGGCCAGGCGCTCTTGGGCCTGGGCAAAGTTGGAGGAGCTCATCTGAGAAGCATAGCTTCCTGCATGCAGAGGAAGCTGGTCAGATTGGTGACTGGATGAATATTACATGGACATCACAAGATGAGAGACACTGGCAATTGCGTCGTGCTGGCCTGGCCCGTGGGAATCACAGGTTGGAAGACAGAGAGGATGGAACGCGGGTTCGGCTGCCAAGGAAGGGGCCGAGGTACAGTTGGACAGCAGTCGGCACTCGAAGCTGGGGCAGGCGGTGGCAGGCCACCAAACAATGCTAGCGCCATCCCCTCCAGAGCACTCAACCCCCGAACCCATTTATTATTAGGTACATTATACATATTCCAGCCTGCAGCGTAGAGAAGACAATGTAAGTCCTGGATATAATTTCAATGCCTTTGGTTCAAAAATCATACGAATGAAATCATGTTTGCTATTTGCGCATCTATCTCCAGTATATCTTCTCGAATGGAGATGCTAAGCAATTCGCCATGTTTGGCCAAACAGTAAACTCTAGGTCCACAAGCATATAGAGTACTCGATCATACCTTAATGTACACACATGCTATTCCTTCATGTCGATTCGTCGAGTCATCGCCGATTACTTCCGGCACGCCTTTTTGACTGCGTCAAAAGTACACTCGAATCTGGTGAACCAACAGAGTTGTCCTCAAAATTATAAGATATTTTCAAGATATTCAAACTTTTGAGGCAGCTGATGTAATCGGCTGCCTCTTTTGGCGTATATGAGACCACAGCATATGACGGCCAAGATAAAAATGCTAGTAAGCACTCAATATCACTTGTCTCATTCAAGGTAGTCATTCATGTTTGTACTTTTGGGCCACTTAGTCGTCATAAACAAATGCAAGGGTCTTCAGAAGGGTCCATTCTGGTACTATCTAACGGCAAAATACTCCTGCATTGTGGCTTGATTTCATTCGAGATTTACCAGCACGCGGGCTGGATAAGCCATCATCAGCTCGTCGGAAGTCATATCTCGAATGCAGTGATCAACAAGCCCTCGCTTATGCACAAACCACAAGTCCTTGTAACTTTAGTCTCGAGCCCCGTTTTACGCTCTAGAATCTTTTTTCCCTTTTCCCCTTCCCGTGGTTGCAATGTACTACCATGCACATGAACTCCAACTGTCCAACCCAGCAAGACGCAATCTTCTGCCTCCAATTCAAAAGCAAATTCTCCGACTCGGAATCTCAAGCTAACACCAGAGCCAATAGTGGCCTTGCTGTGCAGCCGGTGTCAATACAAGAATATAGGAATATAGTTTTCTCGGCAAAAGAATAGTATGATCACAAACTTTCTGTCAAGTTCAGTCTCCATGGATTCGGAACAGCAATGTCTACTGCTTAACACAGCCACGTCCAGGACACCGTTGGCCTCCGCAAAGCCACTATTACTCTTGTTTCATGTCAATGTTGGTAGATCTCGTTAATCGCGGTGAGAGGAGTGAAGTAAGTGATGCTACCAGAAATGGCAGGGTCTATCGGGGACTCCAGCTCGACTACAGCTATTGGAAGACTCAGAATGCAAGCTGAGTGGTGCTTTGTTCATGCCCATGCAATGCAACCAAGCAGAAGGCCGCACGTTACCTCATCCTTCACTGCTCAGATGCTGTCAGCAACGACTGATCCATGCAGAAATGGCCCTTGCCAAGTCTTTGGTCAGCAAAAAGCTTGAGCAGCCGCCAAGGGTCGACGTCGGGGTAACCTCATGGCTTCATTCTCCGCGAGCAAGAACCGGCGTCGTTTCTGGTGATACATTGAAAGAAGCAACTCCAAGAACCAGAGAAGAAGCCTCCGCCCCGCCTCTATGGCGGCATCACTGACGACTAGGGTTGCGCGCTTCCTAGGTCGTCGGCGCTTGTTCTGACTCCATTCTTGGCCACCATCTATATATGCCATTGCCGGAATCCTTCCCTCAGGAGAAAAAGAAAGCTGCTCCTACTCCGCAGATGGATCGTTCATGCATCGATGATAACATCAAAATGACCGAGCCAACAAGACAGAAACAGCCTCGGGCTAGCCAGGCTTTAGAGACGGCATCAATAAGAGCCACACAAACAAGGGCCAACAATCGCTCTACAGCATCGATTCGTGTTTCGAGGGCCTGTGTGCAATGCCGTTCAAAGTGCGTTCCTCATCGCCCGCGAGGACCGAGTGCTACTAACCCAATGACTCCAGGCACGTGAGATGTGATGGCACAATGCCAGCATGCAAGCGGTGCTCGGAAGAGAACAAACCCTGCTTCTACGTCAAGTCACGGCGCGGAATCCGGGATGCCAAAGAACGAAGTCTGATATCGGATAAGCCGCCGTCGCAGACGATAAGCACGAGTCTATATCAGATCCCGAGCAGTGGAACCCTCACCGAAAGCTCAAGCACCTATGGTAGCGACATCTTCAGCAACAGCTTGATCGGTGAAGCCTCCTTCTCGCCTACGAGCAACGAAGACACTTTTCTCGAAGCATACTATACCTACTTCCACCCGAGTCATTCCATGATGCTCCCAAAAGATTACTTCCTCAGGCACATGGCACTAGACCCTGACTCGGTGAATTTCCTGCTACCGGTAGTCCGGTACATTGGATCGCATTATTGCGCTCAAAGGGCACCTGACGACTTGGAAGAGGCCGTCTTTGCAGGAGCTTGCGGTCAACTACCAATGACCTCACAGTCAGTACTGGGTCTATTGCTTCTTAGTATAGCGGCTTTGGGAAATATGAAGTTTGGATACCAGAACGGCTGGACAAGCAGAGCCATTTCCATGGCCTTTGCAATCGGCATGCAGCACAAGACATTTGCAGATAATGTCCATGATGCAGTCCAGGCCGAATGTCATCGACGAGTCTTCTGGGGCCTTTATCTTGTTGACTCAATGAGGGTCATCAGGGATCCAGCAGAGAGACTGCTACTTCATGAAACTATAGGGAGTGTTGATCTTCCATGCGAGGAATGGGAATATGAAGCTGGGGTAAGTCTTGACCCCTGTCAATGACTCTGCATACCTACATGGGCTTTCAGCGAAAGTCGTGTACTTGGTGTGACGCCTTTCCAATAATAATTGCCTACTAATGTGTGTAAACAGCGAATACCACGACCGATATCGCTTGCAAAATACGACGAGCAGAATATCTTTGGGACTGCTGACTTCTCATCGTGGGCATATCTCATTGATATGTGTCGCATATCCAACGAACTCGTGCTACCCTATCATGACAGCATGGAAGACAAGAAAATGGGACTTTTTGATCGTGCCGACTCTCGAATCTGCGACTGGCTGATCAAGGTCCCACAATGGAAGACGGAAGTCGTGGACTCAAACGGGCTGGGTGATATGATCCTTTTACACGCAATCGCACTTGCCCAACAGTACGTCACATCTTTCAGATGGTCTTGTCCACTTGCTCTAACGACATGGTAGAAATCGATTAAGAATACGGCAATGTGCATCGAGACAAGGTCTCAATCTTCAGCAGACCTTTCCGCTCGGTCCTGCACGAGGACCTCACCGCCAAGCACAAAAGATCAAGGGGTTCGGATGGAAAGCCATTCCAATAGACGTCCAGGCAGCGGATAGTGTCTGCCGCCTGTTTCTCAAATCGTTTCCAACCAAGAACCTCAGCCCACTTTGCTTGCCAGGACTCCTGTGGGTAGCCATTGCCTATCTCGACGCATGCGTCTTCCTAGGCCTCGACACGCCCGGCTATCGAGAGAAGCTCAGCATGTTACTGCACATCATGACGGCCCACGGCAAGATCTGGGGCATCTCACGAAAGATTGCAGAAGAGGTCAAGGAGGTGGCACAAGACTATGCCGTGTTGCCACAGTCGCCATCGCCAGAGCCAGATTCCTCCGCGAGCAGTTCACATGCGCTCCAACTCACTCCTGACCTGGCCATGGGCGAGCTTGCACTTCCAATGGACTTTGATTTTTCCGCTTACCAGAACTTTGGCGATTTTAATTCTTGGAACAATAATCTGAGCGCTTCTTTGTTCTGAAGAGACAAGACAAACGCCGACTGTCATCGATCAGCTCTGTTATCCAAAAAGAAAAGAAGAATTCGTTCGTCATAAGTTGCACATAACGCCGGGCATACTTCGACTGGCGGAGTCTATTCTTATGTGGTAGACTAATTATAGAGGTCCAAACATGGAGTATTTGGTTGGCCAATTATCTTGGTCAAGAAGAGAGATACAGAGGGGGGGGGGAAAGGGAATGTGGAAATTTCCAAAGATGTAAATTCCCAGTGTGCATCAAGCACAACATGATGGTCGTCGATACCTCCTCAAAACGATGCTGATTAAAGTATGAAACTCAGACTATAATTGCATTGTTTGGCGTTCATTGGTTGGTTGGTTGGTTGGTTGAACGCTGTTTCTAGGCCCAGTATTTGATTGCTTCTTGCAAACCAAACTTGGAAATCTGTTAAATTCGATATCCTCACATTCAAACTTTGGGGTTGAAATATTCAACATCTGCGTCGACGTTTCAGCTTCTCAGTAATTGTGAACTTGCATTTTCATCTGCTGCAAAATCAGATTCATGTCAAATCATATTGCATGTGAGCGACCGACCTGTATTCCGTACCAAAAGCCACCTACGATACGTACGTGGGTATTACCCGCGTACCTTGTTAGCTACGAGCTAAGCCAGGGCAGGGGTCCCCTTCACAGTCGAGTCCCTTTCCCATCACAATTATTGCCCCGCGTCCATCCAGCAGTTCCTCAGGCTTCAGCAACTTTCAGCGCCTGACTGCCCCGCCAGACCTGTACGTCCACCTCCCTACGCAGATCAACATCTCGCCCGCTCTTGACCGCAGAACTCGAGTGTTCGATCGCTCGTCACATTCTTGAAAGCATCCTTCAAAGAGCATATCCGATACGAGACGCCATGAGTTTCGCTATCGAGGTGCCTGGCGAGGCGAGCCCTCTCGGCTTCCAGGAGCTGTGCAGGACCCTACAGCTTGCGTCCACGTCCCCGGATCACACACAGCGCCAGTCTGCTGGCCAGCAGCTCTCGTCGTGGGAGCAGACACAGATCGACTACTATCCGTTATTACAGGTGAGCGGCAATCATTCCTCGACAGCATGATCACGGTCGCCTGTTACTGACGCAAGCATTGCACAGCTCGTCTTTCTGGACAAGTCTCTCCCGCGAGAGATCCGACTGCTGGCAATAATTCAACTAAAGAACGGAATTGATAAACATTGGCGGCACCACACTATACAAAATTCGATCCAACCCGCCCAAAAAGATGCCATACGGTCAAACTTGTACCGTGGTAGCATAGGAGAGGAGGATAAGCAATTGGCTCTGCACAATGCTTTTGTGGTCGCGAAAGTCACTAGGACCGATTTCCCCCAAGCATGGCCCGAAGCCATGCCCAACCTGGTCTCTCTACTGCGCGAAACCAAAGATGAGCCTTTCAAGCTATCAGGCGCCTTGGTTATTTTATTCAGGGTGGTGAAGGAGCTCGGCACGGCGCGGCTGCGCAAGTCGCAAACGGCTTTGCAATCTGTCACCCCGGAACTGGTGTACCTGTTGGGAGAAATATACACCAGCAGTACAGCGTCGTGGAACTCGTCTCTAGCCAGCGGCCAAGGAGATGCAGTGGCCATCGAACAGGACATGAACAATAGTCTTACGGCCTTCAAGACCCTTCGACGACTCCTGATCACTGGATACGAGCATCCTCACAAAGACAGTGCAGTGCAGCAAGCTTGGAGCTTGTCACAAGTACAATTTGGACAATTCATCGGATACGCAAGCCAAGAATCCTCGATCCCAGCATCTCTTCTAGAAATCGTCGGAAAGCACATGATGCAGTTCACGAAACTCCATGTTGACATGGCAACGACTCATCCCGCAAGTTTCGCTTCACTGCCCCATAGTATGGATCTCGTGAGGTCATATTGGGGTATGGTGGTCAAGTTTGCTGAAATTTATCCCAAGTCGGGCGGCTTGCGCCGTGGAGCAGCCGACGAGGGTGGTCACAAGTTCGGTACAGAGGGTCAATGGTTGGAAAAAATTGCTCTCAAAGGTCTATTATTGTGTCGAGCTTGCATCAAGATGATCAATCAGCCACAGCTGACTTTCAAGTATCGCACCAAAGAAGACCGAGCTGAGCAAGACGCTTTGTTACAGCATGCCAAGGATGATCTATTGAAGGACGATTTCATCGTGCAGATGGCCAATGTCATTATATCCAACTTTCTCGTGTTTCGCGAGGCAGATCTTCAAGCTTGGGAAGAAGACCCAGAAGAGTGGGAACAAGACGAAGAGAGCGGCGGAACTGCTTGGGAATGGGAGGTGCGGCCTTGCGCAGAGCAAGTCCTTCGCCTCCTCCTCGTCAGCTACAAGCACCTTCTTGCCGAGCCACTGCTTGCCTATTTCGCAACGGCAAGGAATCCACAGGCCGACATCATGTCCAAAGAATCCGTCTATACTGCTTTGGGTATCGCAGCAGATTACCTGGAGAAACAATTTGACTTTGATGAGTTCTTGAGGACCACTCTCGTGGCTGATATACAGCAGCAAGGGCCCCTCTGCAAAGTTCTGCGACGTCGGATTAGTATTCTGATCAGCGAATGGGTGGCGGTGAGCGTGGCCAAAGAGAGTTATCCCCTAATCTACGAGATCTTCCGACACTTTCTCGATTCCAACGACCAAACCAATGACATTGTTGTCCGCATTACGGGTGCGCGACAATTCAAGGACGTTGCTAGTCAGTTCATCTTTGATGGAGAGACCTTTACTCCGTATGCGGAGGGGATCCTTGTTCAACTGATCCAGCTTTTGCAAGAGATTAGCGTTGATGAGACGAAACTGGCGATCCTCGACACCACCAAAGTCATCATTGAACGAATGGAGACTCATGTCAACCCCTTTGCCGAGTTCATAGTTTCCTCTCTCCCAGCTGTATGGAATGCTGATGGTGACATGGGATATATGCTGAAATCAGCTGCCCTCACGATCCTCCAGGCTCTCGTCATGTCCATGGGCAGAGAATCACAACGATTTCACCCTGTCATCATACCTCTAATTGCCGATGTTGTCCGAGAAGATTCACAAGTCTTCATGTACCTCATCGACGAGTGTCTTGAGCTCTGGATTAATATACTCTACCAGAGCTCCTCTCCCATCTCGACAGAACTTACTAGTCTTGTTGAGCCAGCACTAAGACTGCTAAATGAACAGACTGAACGCAATCCCATGTACATCACCATTGCTGGCAGCTACATTTTGCTGGCGCCGCAGGTCCTGCTTGAGGAGCGTTGGAGACGACCACTCCTGATGGGCCTCACCCAGACCCTACAGCAGAAATCGACACGTGAGGAGCAGAGATCTGCTACTCGATACATTGGATACCTCCTTCGCTACGCTCAAGAGTATGGTCAGATTGATGGTGTTAAAATCATAGTCCAGGACTTGATGGCTTCTGGTTTCCTGAAAGAAGTGTTTGAGGGCATCCACGATGCTTACAGTGCTCGCCAGACTTCAGGGCCGAAAAGGAGGACACCCAAAGTCAACAATCTGACGCTCACCGACTACTTCAACATTTTGTCACGCATAGCTGTCGCTGATCCTTCGGTTTTGGTTGAAATACTTGCCGCCTTTGGGTCACTCGATCAGGTGTGGCCGTGGCTGAGTGACGAGTGGTTTGGCAATTTCGACTGTATCTCGGACGACATGGGACGTAAACTCAACCTTTTGGGCCTCACACGCCTGATGGAACTAGGACAACCCATGCAGGATCTCATTCTTGCCAAGTTGCAAGACTATTTCTCCATGTGGATCAGTGTCATTGCTGCCATTCTCGGCGAAGAAGATCCTACGATTGATCTTTTGATTCTGACGTCTAGTCTCGAAGCAACCGAGTGGGATACGCACAAGGATCTTCGTGAGAGAGCTTTGACAGAGAGTGATCCTGTCCGCCAAGTCCACTCACTGAACTTTGTCAAAGAGACTCTGTCCAGCTTGGTCCAAAGAGTTGGAGGAGAACAGGCCTTCCGGGACAACTACGCAGCCAATGTCGACTCTGACGTGCTGCAGAGCTTTGAGCGGCTTGGAAAGCCTTTACAGAATAGTATGTAGGGTATGACGAAAGATTCTGGCACCCACAGAGCACGGAGAACAGGGACAGCATGCTAGGTTCGCCATCTTTGAGCCATGGCAGAAAAAGAAAGGGGAAAAGACTGTCGGGAGAAACCCCCCCGAGATGCGATTGAGCCACGAAATCATGTCAGCGCAAGACAAGTTTATTGATTTCATTCACAGTAGCCTACATACAGAATACCCATACCTGCCCAGACAGGCAGGCTGTAGACGGTTTTCTGCACAAAGATATCCCCCACAAGAGCATGAACGGTACAACACAGAGCATATACAGGCGTTTACAGGCAAAATATGATTCAAAGTTTGCAGCATCAGGGTTCAACTATTTCAAAAGATGCTTCGGAGCTCAATAGACCAAAATATGATTCAAAAGATACAAGGATGTATGCAGCAAATAGCTCACCATTGTGTCATGTGCTTTTGCGATTAAATTTCCTGTAGTAGAGACAGTCCGATTCGCTATCTACCGACTACTCTCGTGAGTCGTTTGAGGCATCTTTTCCGATCCCCCAGCCGCTAAGTATAATCGGAACAAAAAAAGAACATGACAAAAATACAGTAGAAAAGAAAACAAGGATTTGCACCCTGCGCCCGCAGAAAATCCGAAAGAAATGAGTTTGCCCAATCCATGCTTCTTGGAACAAAGTCCATCATCATCTATGCTCGCGACTGTGAAAAACAAACAGAAAAATCAAGGGAGCAATCGACCCATTCGGCGAGTGCCTGGTTTTGTCGCTGCTAATACTGCTTTAGAGCAGACCTCCTTGACGGGGTCTCACTTTGTTTGTTCTCCTTTCTTTTACCACTAAATGGATGGAGGAAACTTTTTGCCTCTTCAACATGTACAATTAATGATTTCAGTCGCTGTTGGGCCCTTTATTTAAGAGTAAAATTGCGACTTTTGGAAGCTCTCCATGGACACGTCACCAGGCTTGCCCGTCACCACTGGCGGCGGCGCAGGCGTAGTGCTAGTCATGGAGCTCGTCCGTGGAGATCCGGGCTCGCTGGCCGCGGCCTTTATGGCGGCCAGTGGCTGCCCGGGACGCTTGGCCACCTCGAGGAAGGTAGAGGGCAGCCAGCCCATGCGGCCATCGCGCGCGCGGCAGCGCCACCACTCACTAGGGATGCCGTTGGGGTCCGTCTTGGACAGCACGGCGATAAAGTCGCCCTTTTTGACGGCCAAGTCGACTCCCTGGACATTGTCCTGTGGCACAAAGTCGTGAACCACGCGGCAGAATTCGAGTTGGCTGGGGTCGAGCGGTGCCGAGGCTTCCAGTCGCTTACGCTCCTCTTCCTCTTGAGAGGCAGCTAGCGAGCGGATCATCTTGCTCATAACATAGGGCAGACCAAAGGCGGCCAGCAAGAAGAACATGAGCGGTTTCCTGCTTGGTTTGTTGGGCTGTCCGGGTGTGCCGGGCGGCGATTTCCTTCCCTCGAAGCGTGCAAAGGCCGCCGGTGTCAGCGCGGTGGCATCTGCTGGTGGCGGGCGGCCCGTGAGTTTGGCAATGAGTGTCCTAATCCATCGCATCAGGGTGAAGATGCCTAGTACTGATCCAAGCGTGTCTCTCAGGTTGCCAAATTGCTCTGCTACTGAGACCATAGCTATAGAATTTTAGTCAGCAAAGCCAGTTCTATACACGAATGAACAATCCAAGAGGTGACTTACCGAAGAAACTAGAGTGTGTGGCCATATATGTGCTCTCCAGCATCTGTGCAAAGCCGCCAAAAGCACCGACGACGCCCTCCAACATCTGGAACGTCGCCTGTGTGCTGTTGTTGAAGCTGTTGGTCAGGCTGTTGGGGTTGTTTGGGTCGTTGGGATTCATGCCACCCATGCCGCCGTACATGCCTCCCATTCCACCGTACATGCCTCCCATTCCGCCCATGCCTCCGTAACCGCCGTAGCCACCATATCCACCGTAGCCGCCGTACATGCGGGAGCCGAAGCCACTCATATTAGAGTACGGCGACGAGTAGGCCGACCCGTATCCCGGCTGGGCCATTCTGCTGTAGGCGCTGGCGTTCTGGTTAACCGAAGATGCCAGAGAGTCGGGCCGCGGTGGAACTGTAGGTGTGGCGCCGGTAGCTGTCGTCGACGCGGGCGCGGCCAGGGCGTTGGTAGCTGCTGTCGGTATGGAAACGCCAGTACTAGCAGCAGCGGGTGTAGACATGGCTATAGTGGTGTTGAGGTTAACATTTGTTTAATGGGCCTGTCGTCAGGATTGAATGATAGTGTGGGTTGATGGGAGATGTAACAAGTCTCCATCAGAGAGAGGTTGATTACTCAGATAGAGATTGCGAGGATTGGCAAGCAGAGACGGAAGGACTCCGGACTCAGATACGGGTGTTGCGAGATTGTACACACAGTCGCGACCGTGGATGAATGCAATGAAAAAGTATTCGACTTACTTGAAGTTGCCGTCGCACCTGCACGCTCCCACGGCTTGGGCGGTGAAGCCATAACCGAACTCCCTGCGTCGGGGAGAAGTTGTGGTGAGTCGTGACCCCAGTTGTTGCTACTTTGGCTCTCGCTGCGCTGTGGTCTTCCGTTCGGCGGGTGTTTTGGTTGCGGGCGGGCGCAAGTGCCACAATCAACCGCTGGCTGGCCAGTTGATTCGCAGAGCGACAAGGGAAGGAAAAAAAGAGAGAGATAAAAGTGGAAACTTGCTTATGCTTGCACAGCGGCACACTGAAATGGTGATGATGTCGCCGGATATCTCTCTCACACCACTATTACCGTCGCAGAGGACTTTGAGAAGAAATATGGAAATGGGAAAATAGTATCATCCAACTGCTACGTAGAGAGAGAAATCATAGTGGTGGGTCAGGGTCGTTGTCCCCCAAGTCCGGGGAAAGGAAGTGCAAGCAGGTCGTCCCGTCCATGGATCGTCCTAAAGCGGAGGCAACTCTGACTCTGGCTATCACTGCACTGTGAGCTCAGCCCGCTGTTCGCCCAAGAAAGAAGGACTCTTTTGCCTTTGCCTCTTCCCTCGCTTGTGACGTGCCTCGGTAGACTTTTGGGGGTCCCACCAACCGCTTCTCAACCACGGCTTCTGGGGAATCACGTGACTAATATGTCCTGGCTCGACGCCAGACCGAATTGGAATTAATATCACGCGAATAAATGTCACCAAGACTATGGAGACGGGGTTAGGTTTAGGCCTAGACATTGAGTTCCGAGTCTAGAATCTGGAGTAGCAGCAATAATGATTTCCATTCATCTTTCTTTTATACCACCTCTACATGATATGCAACCTTGATTCTTTAGCAGCACAACAATTGAACAACGAATAATCTCTCTAGAGTTTTAGAAAAGAGTGTTTTGATTTTTCTACCAATCTACAATCCAGCCAATATGATTAGTTATTCTCCTTTTCATCCCATCTTATAACATATTTCTACCCAGTAATTCATTACCGCGGCCATAAAATAATGGCTTATTTCGCATCAGCAAATCCAGGCGCCGTCTTGGCAAACTCCTCCCAGGTAGTCAGGCGATCCTCGATCAGGCCGTGCGTCCAGTCGAGCGAATCACCACCATAATAGCCAAACTCATTGAGGAGCCGCATATTCTGGTGCATCTCCTCGACGACAAAGTCGGGCTAGCCCGTCGACGCCAGAAAGCCGCGGAACTGCTCGGCCGGCACCTCATAGTAGCGCGCCGACGCCGCCGCCTCGGTGCCGGCAAAGGCCCGCCGGAAGCCCTCGACGATTTCCTGCCCCGTCAGGTACTCGGTCGCGCCCAGGATGCGCTTGCCCAGCACCTTGCTCTCGTGCAGCACGGCCGCCTTGATGTACTTGCCCGTGTCGCCCGGGTAGTACAAGGGGAAGATGGAGCTGGCCGGGATGGGCAGGCCGAGCGTCCAGGCATTGTCGGGCGGAGAGGGACGGAACATGCCGCCGGGCAGGTTGGTCATGTAAAAGCCGGGCATGAAAAAGGTGGCGGGTATGCCGAGCTCGCGAATGTAGTCTTCGACGAGAGCCTTGCTGTCAAAGTGGTATACCTCGGACAGCACGCCGTTGCTGAGCTTTTTGATGTTGTATAGGGAGCTCCAGATGAGCAGCTTGATGTCCGCCTCCTGTTATTCAGAGTCAGCATCTGTTCAAAATGCACTACAATGTATCAGCTGGACTTTTGCTTACCTTGGCAGCATCGGCAATGTTCTTGCCCTGGCGGATTTCCAGCTCCATGTCAAGATGCTCCCAGTAGTTGGTCACGGCAAACACGGCATAAGAACCGCTGATGGCTTTGACAATGGACGCCTTGTCATTAATATCGGCCTTGGGTAGGTTCAATGTTAGCTTTTATGTTCCGGACAATGCACTGTAGGAAGGTTTGTTTTCTTCTCCATCACTTACAGTGACAACTTCGACTCCTTGCGCGGCCAGCTTCTTGGACGATTCCTTGTTGACGTCGCGGGTGATGCCGCGCACGGCCCAGTCATTCTTGAGCTTGGGATCGTTTAGAAAGGTGTCAACGACGCCTCCTCCCTGGTTGCCAGTGGCTCCAAAGACGGTGATGATTTTCTTTCCAGACATCTTGCGTAGAGTACGATTGCAATGACTTTGAGTAATAATGATTCTCAAGTGTTGAGAGTATAAAACGGTATAATGGATTAGGTTTCGCTGGTGAGTGACTAGTGTGGTATTGGTGGTGGAAGCTGCTGTTTGATGGTTTGTGTTGTAGTGTGTTGCTGTATGATGATAGAATCATGGTATCATGGAAGAGAAGAAATTTTCATATTTATATATTCTTGTCTCTCCTACACCTTTGAGAGGTCCTTCTTCAACATGGCGAAATCGTGATGGACACTCTATACTCGAAGCTGACAAAGCTACCTAGTACCTAAGTATGCGTCTCCATGCCTATTCTGGTCTGTCTCGACACTCTTCTTGTCCGAGATGTCCATTACCCATGCCAAGATGCTCCAGTAGTAAGAATAATGGTAGAATCACTAAGAAATCATTCAGCTCGTATGTACATGCCCTGATTCCTAACTAGTCTAATGGTGACCGATTTGCGAGACTGTCCAATCATTGATGAGCAAGCGTACTCTGTAAGTTCTGGGGTTAGACATGCCAAGCCGCTTTTTGGATGATTATGTAAAAGGCCGATGCTGACAGAAGCACAAAAGCTAATGGCCATGAAGGTGGAGTGGGGCCCTAAATAGCGAAGTGCCGAACCCCCAAACGGAGCTGATGAATCAATTCTAAACATTTCGTAAACCCAAATCCCATCTGAAGATGAAAAAGAAGAAGAAACGCTGAATGATGCGCTCGTGGATATAGGTTACGTACACCAACGAATAGCATCAAAAGCATTCTATCAGCTTCGAGTAGGATGTTTGTCATCCTTCGCAGTCCTCCCATCAACCGCTGCCTCTGCAATTATTGGGCTGTTTTCGCCCTTTCGTCTTCTCATTTGGACCTTCAGACAATGGCCATGATCGGAAGCACTATATTGCAAGTTTTGATATGGTAGCCTATACCTGTGTATCCCGCAGATTCTGGTATCCAGTCGACTCGTCTCCACGTTCAAGGCTGAACGCACGGCTTGTTCACTGTGGGTTTTAGAATCATAATTAGGTAATGTACTGGTATATATGCATTTACAATTTACATTTTGAATCGGACCGAAATCACAGGAATTATATACTAAGAATAAGACATTGATGAATTTCGCTTGCGCATGTACCAAAGTATGGAGGGTATCTTGTAGACAAAAGATATCCAAGAATAGGCAAGAATCAAACACGAACCATGTCCAAACGAAATTGAGAAAAAGAGATCCGTCCGTGTCTAGCCTTGTCCGTGCCTATGTAATAAATCATCCCCCTTTCACCAGTTCGGCGCTGCTCCCTTACAGGGAAGAGATGAAGTCCATGATGGTGGACAGCAGGCTGTCAGTCTCGCTAATGAAACCATCGACAGTGTCCGTGGTAAGGGACGAGGAAAAGTCGATCGACGAGTCCAGAACCTTGATGGAAGCAGTAGAGTCGGAGGAGCGGAAGACAGCGGCGATCTGAATGTAGTCCTCGGTGGGGCGCTCAAAGTAGTCGGAGCTGCCGAGCGAGTTGAGGAAGTGGAAGGTGGACTTGGCCTTGGTGTCACCCTGGGACAGAACCTCGAAAAGATCAGCCTCACCACAGCCATCGCTGTCCGAGTCAGTGGCCCAGCAAGAGCAGTCACCGTACTGCTGGGTGCGGGGAATCTTTCCGTTCAGGAGCCAGATAGCAGGCATGTCGGGGTTGGTGCCAGAGGTCTCGCCGCTAAGAGGCATGGTGAACTCAAACAGGAAGACCTTGTCAGCACCACCGAAGCCCTGGTAGGCGACGGAGTCGGGGCGGTAGTAGCCGCAGTCAGCGTCGTCGGCGGTACACTCGACGTCGGAGAAGATGGCGTACTCGACGTTGTCACCAACAAGGACGTTGTCAAGGACGGTCGAGGACTCGGCACCGGTGGTACCATCGGCGCTCAGGTAGGAAAGACTGTTTCCGAACTTGGTATCCCAGGTACCGGATCCAGCAACACCACCCCAGGCACCAACAAAAGTGACACCATCGGCAGTGCCATCCTCGGCATTGTAGTAGGCGATACGCTGGTAGTCACCGGTGGCAGCAGCGGCAGTCGCGGTGGAGGTGGCGCTGCTCTTGGAGGACTTGGCCTTGGTGGTCGACGTAGCAGCGCTAGTCGTGGTAGCAGAAGAAGCCGAGTCATCGGAATCCTCACCGGACCAGGTGTTGATCCAGGAAACAACCTTTCCATCAATGGTGGCGGTGACAATGTCGCCGACGGCACGGGCCTCCTCCTTCTGGGACTCGGTGTGCTTCTTGGTGTGGAGGTGCTGGTGGCCGTGACGCTTGTGGTGAGACTTGTGCTCTGCGCGCTTCTTGGTGGAAGCAGAGGCGGGCGTGTATACGGCGAACTGCTTCAGCTGAGTGGGACCACGAATGTGAACAGAGAGCTGGCGTATAAGTCAGTATATCATGTCATGAGCATGTCATTATATAATCCAGTAGGTCTGACCTCTTCGTCGAATGGGGCAATGGAGCCAGAGTAAGACTTGGACTCAAAGGTGCAGTCACCAGTGCTTGTGTCCATGTTGGAGACGGCCTTGTAAGAACCGCTGGTGTCGAGACCGGCGTAGCTGATGAGCTGGACTGCCTCACAGTACCAGTTTCCATTCTCCAGGAAGGAAGTAATGGAGCAGTCGGCGCTGACGGCAGCGGCCGAAGCCAGAGCGAGGGCGGCAGAGTACTTCATTTTGGCGAATTTGTCTGATATTCCTGAGTCTAGCACCTAGATATGATATCGTCCCCCAAACAAACAATAAGACGGGCCGGTATCGATGGATTTTTACGTGGCGGCGGACAATAGCAATGAGAAAGTAAAAAAAAGCTGGCGGCGAGCAATTAACTGCTATAGCTGAATGAATCGAATGCTGTGTTGTAAAAGAGTGGCGTGGTGAGATATCACCGAACAATGAGTGACTTCGGTTCCGGGACGAAAGGAAACCTTAGAATTGACAAAGCATTCGTAGGACAGCAAAGGAAGGGAGGAGGAAGAGGAGGAAGGGGGGGTCAAATATGAGAGAGAACCAAGTTTAGGAGATTTAATGAAAGGCCTCTGCTCGGCGGGCATGGGCATGGATTGGGGGGGGCGGAGGGTGTGTGCATGCGTGTTGCCTGTGGGTGTATTATGAAAAGACCCGATCAATTTGTTTCTCGTTCCACCGGCCCAGTGGTTCCTTCATCTTGGCATCTCGTTGGTCGAGGGGCCAGGGGGGAGAGAGAGAGAAGAGAGAAGCGTCAAGCGTCTGCTTGTTGGATAGAGTGGACACGACTTTTGCCTTGGAAAAAGGCTAGACCACAGATGGCATCTCCACAGATTGGCCCCCCCGACGAGGTTCATGGTGGTCTGTCTTGCTTGGTTTTGGTTGCTTGTGCTTGCCCCGTACCTGCATCGCGCGGCAATGAGCCAAGAGTGACTTGTGTCGCGCTGCTAAACATAGTGTGCTGGGCAAGTCACTCACACCTGAGATGGCGCCAGGGGGATCTACGGGCTATGCCCAGGATCTAGCAGGGATTAGCCAGGAACGGCGAGAGAGTTTTGTCCCTGCGTCTTTTTGGAAGGATGTGTTCACTGCTTGGATTGGGCGGATTGATTGGTGCTGGTGGTGGGAGGGAGGGGCGTGTGCGCATGTTTCTTCTTTTTCTTTTTTCTTTTTTTTGCAGGTACTTTTTTCTCAGCGTCATGTTGGACAGGATCCCAAAATTGGCATTTCACATCCGTTGCATCCAATCACACGTTGACCTGCCGGTATTCATTCCATCCAAGGGGCACGTTGGCCGCAGCAGAGAATGGCCCAGTTCTGTCAACATCTGACCGTGCATCGTATGGAATGAATGGGAGTTGTCTTTGTTTTGCCTGTGCCTATGCCCGTGATTGTTGCCCGTGCTTGGTGTACGTGTGTGTGTCTGGATCTTTCTTTCTTTCTTTCTTTCCTTCTTCCTCTCTTTGCCTACGCAATTGTCTGATGGCGGGCCACACACGCTACTAATGCGACACCCCCCAGATTCTCCGTCCGTTGTCTGACCATTAAGCCACAAGCGCTGGAAGTTCAGTGGTTCGGACGAACTTCCATTTCTTCGGCAGCAAGCTCATTAAAAGCCAAGCTTTCATGTCTCTCAGGTTGTGATCGACCAGATACATGAGCTAGTCAAGATCATCTGGGCATTTATCGCATTCAACAGCTTGACAGCGCCTCGTCGAAAAATACACATCTTATTAGTAGCACGTCAGCTCAGATTCGATTACCTGCAGCCAATCTCCCCATGTCAAAACACAACCATTATACCAACCCTCACGGCCGGCCCAGTTAACAGTGAATTGATACAGAGAAGCCATTGTTTAACATAAAGAAACAGCAGCATAACAGTAATCATGAGATGAATCCCTCTGCTCTGCGCTTGGATGTATGTATGTGTCCTTCCTTCAGGAGTCGAGAGTTGACTATTTTAGCAGGTCAAATTTAGCGCAGACCGCTGTAAAGGAACCACACCCTTCCGTTAAGTGGCGTGGCAGTGAGCGAGAGTTCAACTTGACAGCGGGGTCCCACGCCACATTTGTACCGTCGTTGGCGTCTGGGTAAAATGCGCCCGGGGGCCTGGCGCCTGCAAGCCAGCAAGCTCACAGCGCCAAATGGGCTTGGATTTGCTTGGGCTCAATCTCCAGATCATGATCCAAGACCGGTCCAATTTCTTTGGCTATGCTCCGACTGTTGTGCTTGGGTGTCTGTTGATCATCACTGTGGACTACCTCATTTTGCAGTTTGATGAAGAGAGCTCAGGCCTTCAAGACAAGTAGACAGACGACAGACGGCCCACGGAAAGTACACAATCGATAAAATGGATCATACTGAATTCCCTCACCCAGCTGCTGCGGACGCAGATGACGAATCGCGGGGTAGGAAGTATCTTATCGAACCATGCGAAACGCCCCCCAAATGCTTGGTGAGAGAGATCCAGTGCCACCATCGCGAAAATGCACCCCATTGCCAAACCTGACCGCAATTCAAACTACGGTGACACAAGCAACAACAAAAAAACCTCTCGCCTGTTTTCCGTCACGACACGTCACCGTGCTTGGAATTGCTTCATTTCTCTGCATGAGTGGCCGCTCATGTAGACCCTCGGGTTCTCTTGCTGTGATTTGCAATTGATGTGCATACGGGTACGTACGAAGAGGATTTACGGTATGTAAGCGCAAACCACATACACGAAGCCGACAGCGCATACGTTTGTGAATTGCAAACCTGCATTTTCGATTACCTCGCCGTTGACAGGAGCCAATCATGGGAAGAGAAGAGACATTTCGAATTTGGGTTGCAAATTGAGTTGGACTTGGCACCACCCAATACAGCCCGTTTGATTATTTTACTTTGGGCAATCCTCGTGGCCAAGCCGGTACCTGCATCACTTGATGCAGGGACAGCCACGCCTCAACTTAACCACGAGCAAGTCGTTTCCTCTTGCATCATTCATCTCGAAGCGCGAATCGTGCATCGATCGTAGGTGTCGGCCCTCCTGTCGAGGATAACCGCAACTATCACCGGCGCAACCGGTGATACCGGCGCAATGACCGCCGCTAGAAGATGGAGAGAATCCATCTTGGTCGTTCTGATAGGGTTCGCTGCATCCACTGCCGACCCGGCTGGAAGGGTGCATTCCACACTGAACGCCCTGTTTGGACCAAGAATGTTCGCTTCTCGACCGGGAATGTCGGGCGGTTGCTGGCAGACGGGACTGGACTGCGGCCATCCATCCCTTCCACCAGAAAAAGTCCAGTGGAAACTCTGCAGGGATTATAAGCACGTGCTCTCCCTCTCCATCGTCGTCGCTGTTGCATTTCTACGGATTACCCGTCTGCTATTGTTGTCTTGATCCGTCATCGCGTACATGCCATGCCCAATTCCCTTATAATCACAATATGATTACCTCTCAATTAAGGCGCACCATGGCATCTCTCTTTTTCCCGCTCTTAGCTTCATGTGGATCAGTCTCCTCCAAGTGCGATATTTAGCCTGTTCAGCTGTCTGGTCTCCTTGAGTCCGCCACTGAATGTCTATACCGCAGGCCACGTGTAGTCCCGCCGGGCCGCGTGTTGTCAATATCTTTTTGGGCTCGACACGGACCCTTTTCAACATCGCACACAATCTGCTTGCCCATCTGTGTCTTTTTGGTTTCTCCCGGGATTTCCAGAAGACTTCCATCAAGGGTGACGATCCGTTTGGAAAACTACGCGCCAGCGTTCGAAAAAATTGCTTTTGATATCAAACCGCCTTCAGTCGCACGTGGCATTGGGTATAAGACAACGGCAGCTGGCAGCATCTTCTAGGGTTCGCAGCTGGTGTTCTGAAGTGCTTCCTTTTGCCTATTTGTTTTGTCCGTTCATGCAAGCACTTCCGTTCCGCGTTACGGGAAACCCGCTCTGCCTCCCGCTGTCATGGACGAATTAACCTCGACAAGCCCCTGAAGGGGAAAGTAAGGCTAGCTGCGGTGTCGGTGCTGTGCATCTCTATGAAGAGAAAAAGGGCTCCAGAGCCTATAAGCTGCCGCGTAATTGCCTGTCGTCACCAACAGTAAGTTCTTAATAAGATGGTGGAGTTCAAGTGGATTGGTGGGCTGTTGGCCCCCTTTGATGGTTTATACCCAATTACTAGCTTTCTCCTACTGGAAGATACATGCCATATGAGATTTGCTGACAGGCTTGTTTGATCCGTTGATTCGCCTGTGTACGGTAACATCTTGACTCCTTTGATTCTACCTGGAAGTTGAACTTGGATAATAGCAACAACCAATACATACGACCATAGCTCTTAGAGAACTCGGCATCCCGTCCGCTCTGCCCTAGATAAACTGAGAAGCGCCGGATTAGTACTCAGATCGGTGACGGCTGGGGAATCCCCGGTGTTGTATGTATTTGTTTTGTTTTTGGTTTTTCTTTTTTTGCACTTCAAATATCTGTTATTAAATCTGGAATTAAAGTTATTATATTAAAAGTCGTCGCGGGGGCGGGGGGTCTTTACGGCCTGGAAAGGGAGACGGGAAGGCAGAAATAAAGACTAATGCTTCGTGATATTTCAAGGTAAAGAACTTTATAGCTGTGACGGTCCACGCCAAGTGGTCCGTGCTGGCCAGCCTGGCTGCACGGGCCACGGGCCCGTCCCCCACCGGCTTATCCGTAGCTATTGATAAAACTATTCCGTAGCCGAGGAGTACCTTAAAGCTCCTCGTCTTTAGATCAATACTAAACCATAGGGTATACATGGCAAAGCCCATTCTTGTCCGTTGGTGCCGTAACAATAGCTATATAAGCGCATATATTCATAATATTATAATTTGCGCCTTATAATAAGATTCAAACGGTGAAAACCTAGGGCAGGTTTGTATTTTTGATTAAATCCTGAATAAAGCCTAAAAAGGTGAATGATTTAATGTTTATATAAAAACAAAATGATAATTATAATAATAATACTTATAAACCCGCAAAACCATCACATATTTAAAAGTCTTATAAGCTAATGGAATCTGAACAACATCACTAATCCCGACCTACACCTAATTGCTACTCGGTTTTCTTGAATAAACACAGCATTATTCGAAGGACGATAATCTTTCGGCAGAAATACTTTCCGTCTCGCCCTTATATTGGATATTTTCCATGTTGGAGTCCACGCTCCAAGGAGACCAATGGGGCCATTGCTCTGTCATCTGTGCTATCAACATAGAGGACTCGGATTCTCCGACGGGCTTTGGACCACCTCCGTCAGAATCCATGTCTCATTGACATGGTCAGCGCTGCTAATTTGCAGCGACATAAAGGGACGATCATGGTGCGTGGTACTGCACACACTGGTTTCCAAGTTCCACATGCACAGTCTGCCGTCGAAAGCCGAGGCTACAACGTACTCTCCATTGGGCGTGAAGTTTACGCTGGGAATCCTCGCTGCTAGAAACTCGAATTTTCTTTTGGGTTCACAGTCAGAAATATTGTCTGATTCTGTACTGTTGGCGGTTTGATCCCAGGTGTAAACCGTTCCGTCATCCCCTGCCGATGCCAGGAGATCGCTATTGGGTGAGAATGCGACGCAGAGAATATAGTCGTTGTGACCATCGGATACTTGGAGCAGTAAATACGATGTGGGCTGGCTGTCGTTCTCCGAGATCTTTGCGTCAAGATCCCAGACTTTGACGCAGGGCACCCGGTAAAAGGGTCATAATCTGAATGGTAGAAGCCATTCAGATTATTCAGGATCTTATACGTGGTGACCGGCGGCCATCGCCGTCACAAGGCATCGCCTACGTGTGGTATCGGTAACAACTCCGGAAGGGCCGAAACGATTGCTGCGCTTGTAAAGCAAATGTCTAGGCCGAGGAAAATATCTGAGACTATCTAATACATATGTCAAAGTTACTTGTCATAGCCTAAGCGACAACCGCAACACAATACCAATATCCGCTCCAGAAAGAGCCGCCACAATTCTCGCCGTTGCTTCCCAATACGCTGTTCCAAGCATACAAATTCGCATACGTCACCCCATTGCGGTCCGCAAACGCCGTGCACCAGTCGCCCGATTGGGCTTGTGCATACGCACTGCAAGATGCAATTGCATTACCAGCCTGATTGGGGTCGGGCGCAGCCACGGGCCCGGCGGTTGTAGTGGTCGCCGGCGCACTGGCTACTGTAGAAGTCGTCGCGGGGGTGACGGTGACGGCTGGGGAAGACGACGAGCTGCTGACGCCCACGCAATAGGCATACCCTCCCCAGAAGCCACTTACACAGTCCTCAGAAACCGCGGGGTTCCACTCTCTGAACTGTTCAAAGGTGATGCTGTATGTCGACGTTATGACAGAGCAGGTATCACCGCCTGTGCGTATTAGAACCAGTACCGATAGGCAAGTAGAAGACGCGATCAAGAAACACAGAGACAGGGGCATGTTGAGCTGGTTTACATACTTTCGACAAGATGCCACTTGTTACATTCTGCCGGTTGGCCGTCCTGGACTGGACCAGGCGCTGTCGGTGAGCTGGTCGGCTCTGAGGTCGAAGTCGTGGACGTCACAGCAGTGGCTGTCGGGGCTACCCAATCATTGGTACGGACGCAGTAGTGGTAGCCTTTCGCGAGATACAAGTTAATAAACTGTTCACGGCAGCCCGTTGACCAAAGTCACACAGAATTAATGAGGAGCAAGATCGAAATCAACATACCAGCCCACATGCCGGAACAGTCAGACCCCACACTAGGGTTCATAGCATAGAAGTCGGCTATAGTCAACTCCCATTGCGCTAGTATGTCCGAACACGTTGGATATCCATCATTTCGCACATCTGCCGTGATGGAACAGTTCGTCGTCATGCCTTCCTATTGACCGTTTCAGCACTCATGATTATTGCATGCCCAAGAGATTGACTATCTGGTCAAGGGAATTCTTACCCGAGCTGGAAAGGCTGAATCTTCGTCGGTACTGGTGCCTGTCTTCTCGCCATCGTAGTACTTGGCGCAATATCTCACACCGGTTTCAAAGGAGCAAGCGTCATCCGATACGTTTCCGAGTGCTATTGAACGTCTGTCAGTGACGAGGCCGGGTCAATCATGATGATGCCAACAGAATCAAGTTAACTTACATGGGTTCCAAACCTGCAGGTCTTCCAAGGTAACGCCGATGACGGCAGCCATAAGAGCGCAGTGAGAGGTGAAGTAGGTCGAGGTAAGATTTTGTTGCCACTCGTCGCCATTGCTGTACTGCGAGCAGTCCTTGCGAGACCCTGTAGCCAAAGGAAACGGCGTGCGCACGGGGCTTGGATATGTAAACGAGGCATCTGGCAGTGTAGTTGCACTGTCTTCAATTGTCCCCGTCATGGTAAGCGTGGGTGCTGCATATCCAGGCTTGCCACTATAAGTATTGACTGTGTTGTAGAGTCAGTCTCGATACCACTCCCAGCTGGTCGAATACGACTTACTATCTCCCACGGGTCGCACGCAGTAGGACTCTTCAGCGTACAGGTTGGTGCAGTTCTCGTTGATGGCCGAATTCAAGAATACAAAGTCCACAAGTGAGATGCCATACTTCATCACGATGAGATTACAGTAATCACCAAGTTGCGCCTCATACCAAGTCCCGCAGTATGTGTTTGAGCCCGACGCAGCGTTGGTCGGAAGAGGAGCAGCTGTAGTTGGGATGGAGGGTGCGATCGTGGTCTCGCTTGGTGCAACGTATGGTGTGCCTGGCTTGCTAACACAAATCTGGTCTCCGATCATCTGGTCCAAGTTGTAGCACCCTGCGTTGATGGACTTGAGGCAGCATTAGTCAGCAACAGTCTCATTACTTCAATGACTGACTCTGGGGTTATGTACCGGGTTCCATGCTCGAAGCTGAGAGTCGGTGATGCCGTGTTGGCGCACGATACTCTTGCAGGTATCTGACTCTAGCACTGTGTAGACATCGCAGGTATTCACTAGACAGAGCTCCCCCTCGGTAGGAAAGTCGTGACAGAAAGCCACCAGAGAATTGTCGATTATGAGCCACTCCGTACCAATACCCTGGGAAAGGGATATCGAATGACAATCGTCACTAGGCTGAATGGTGTAAACCGATCCTGCACATGTTGGTGTAGCAGTGGGAACAGTACTTGTAGGTCTGCACGCTATTTAGCTTGATTCATGACGAATCAGGGATACTGGTGTACCGATCCTTGAACACCATGCTAGAGACATCAAGAGAAGAATATCAGGAAGCGGGAACTTACGTGAGAAGACTGTTGGCGGTGGTTGTCAAGGTAGTACTGGCAATACCACAGCTGGACGCTTTACTCTCGTAAGCAGATTGCGACTGCAGCACAGGCCCCTCATAATAGGGCGATTCGGCTTTGAACCGAAGGTTCGCAAGGAGGCAAGAATCGCACGGATCCGTCGTGTCATGGATTCCAAAATCACCGCCGGCAGGTAAACCACCCGGCACTTCACTTGCCTGTGGGTCAGCCGCGGCTGCGTACGCAGCGGCAACGTTATTGCAAAAGCGGCCGCCATCTGAGAGACAGGTCAAGTTGTAGGAGTATCTTATCAACTCACTAAACAGGGCAACGGGAAGTGTCTCGCCGTTATCATCTTCCCACACATCTCCGGCGCAGCTAGACAGCACAGATGCATGGAATGAGGACAGCGCCGAAGAGCACGACTCGTCACAGATGACTTGAAGAGCAGAGAGAGGATAGTACTTCCCGGCGCTCAAGTCTGCGACACTGGATCTGCACGCCGTGTCCGCTGTGAGTGCCGCGAGACAGGCACTGCTGACGCCTGCGGGAACGGCCTCGGTATCCAAGAACTGTCCTGCAAGCACGACTCTAGATAGAGCGGCCAGCAAAAAAAGATGACAGGCCGTCCTGTGGCTAGAGCTAAGGAATGAAAGCATGGTGACAGGAGGTAAATTGAGCGACAGATGATGCCGGAAAGTTGAACCCAGAGGGGGAGGATCGTGTCAACGTGCTAGACTGGGCTTCACATCGCTTATATGAGAACACCATAGAAATACCAAAATCGGATTGTCCGTGTCAGCCAGGCAGCGATGAATGGGCTGTGCTAAGCGATCAGCTCGACAGCATTGTAGCTGTTAGAGACTCGAATAACATGTCATGTTGGAATGGCATTGCTGTATCAGTACATGGCTGGCATGTCCGGATTCCGGCGCTAAATGAAGATTATCGAAACATGCGTCGAACAATTTCCGTTTTCCCCCGTGTCGCCTGGCACTATACTCACCTCGCAGGCGGTATTATCATGATTTTGCACCCGTCCCTTCACGAAATACTGTTTTGCATGATATGATAATTGACTTGGCGGTGGAGAATGTGCTCACAAGGCTCGGTCGAACAAATCCTTTGAATATAACAAATTTCAAGGGTATTTCTAATTTGAGTCGCAGAACCATGTAAACCATAACTATAGCATTACAGAGCGCGATTGAATTGGTCAAGAGGCTGCGCGAAAAACTATGAGCTATTGGGTCCTTTTCGATTTTGTCGGGCCAAGACGGGCCAAGGCTTCTTGGCCACCTTTGCTGGGTCTGGGACCTGCATTCATAACTGTGCCGCTCTGCATTTATCAGGGCTTTGGCAATCGCAGCGTTCAGCCTTTCCTTGGCTGCATGATAGCCAGACATGTGAAGCGAATGGTTACCTAGGTATCATTCGCCTCCCGTCTAGCACAGCGGCTGTCCTCATTGGTGCATTTGCTCCGGATCTACGGACATGAGAGGAACTCTAGCACAATTGTCTATAGTCTTGGCTATGCGGGCTTGTGGCTAAGTATTATCTGCGTCTTAGACTCTTTTAAAGTTGTTCAGGAGAGCCTTGGGAATTCCCTCAAGTGCTGAGAGGTACTGGGAAGATATCTGTATATGCGCTTTGCATACACGTAGTTGCCGGGGTACTCCGTCTACGCACAAATGATGATGGAAGCTGCTCTATGCTTGAGCTGCTGTTGAATTCCATACTTAAACGGCTCCTGCGGCTCGCTTCCTGTCTCTGAATGTCTTGTCTAGTGTTTACTGCTCCTAGGCTCTTCTGCCGAACTTGTTTACATAGCTCCTATCATGAAGGGCGTCCAATCACTCTCAGTGGTCCGAGTTGACCGCGTCATTCTCTTCCTGCTCTTTCAATTATGGGCGATTACCGTGTCATGTCGTCCCCACTCTCATTCGCACTCCTGGATTCATGAAGATGTTGCAAGAACATGTCGCAATGAAGCTTACAAGTACGTACACATCTCAAACGGAGACCGAACCTATCACTGATGTCTCAGTCCTTTTGATTACTCTGTCAAGCCAAAGCATGACCCCAACGTTCCTTTATGCGCTTTGCAACCTCCCCAAGTAGCCGCAATTCAAACTCGTGATATACTCCTTGGCCGCCAAGTTACTCAACAGCAGGACTATTCATGTGGCCCTGACAAGCCATGTGGCAATGGTACATATCACCCCACGAGATACAAAAGTCTACCTGCTCACATAGATGAATAGGTGCGTGCTGTCCCAAGGAGACTGGGTGGTGCAACTACGGCCCAGAGGCCTGCGGTACTGATGGAATCTCGCCAAATGAGGTCTGTTGGAGCAACTGTGACGCAAAGGCCGAGTGTGGCCGTTATGCGGATCCCCCAAACAAAGAGTGCCCCCTCAACGTCTGCTGTTCACCTTGGGGCTTCTGTGGTATGACCGAGGACTTCTGTGTAATCACAGACGATGAGGAGACATCATGCCAGAGTAATTGCGAGCAGCCGGAATCCGGCTCGTCCGGCAGTGACATTCGACAGCGAGTCGTTGGTAAGTTCTGGAACATATGATGCTTCTTTGTCCTCGGACGAACGAGAAAGCTAACGCAAGATCTCCACAACAGGTTACTATGAAGCCTGGGTACATGAGAGATCGTGTAATGGAATGGTAAGTAGACAACATTCGTCGAGTCTCACTAGTTCAAAATGATGGCTAATTGTGTCTAGTCAATCTCTCAAATCCCTGTCGGTGCCTTGACGCATTTGATGTTTTCGTTTGCATATATCACACCAGATGACTTTCAAATCGTCCCAATGGATGATCTCGATCCTTCCCTCTTCCGGGAGATGACTGCCATGAAGCAAGATAACAAGGCTCTGAAGGTCATGGTCGCTCTCGGAGGTTGGACTTTCAATGACCCTGGGCCAACACAAACTGTCTTTCACGACGTATCTTCCACAAAGGAGAATCGAGCCAAGTTCATTGGCAATCTATTGAGTTTCATGCGTCAATATGCATTCGATGGTGTCGATTTCGATTGGGTAAGTTAAAAAGAATCTCTCATACCGCTCACAGTCGTGTTCGCGCTGATACATTGTGTGCGTAGGAATACCCCGGTGCGGACGATCGTGGAGGCCAAGAAGGAGATGGGGAGAATTTCACTCTACTTCTTGAGGAGCTCAAGCAGGCTATAAGCGAACAGCCGCTGGAATATGTCGTTTCATTCACCACGCCTACAAGTTACTGGTATCTTCGCCATTTCGATATCAAAGGTAGCACCGACGCTGTCGACTTTGTAAACGTCATGAGCTACGATCTTCATGGTGTCTGGGATGCGGATAATCCAATTGGTTCAAACGTCCTTGCTCACAGCAATCTTACTGAGATAAAATTGGCATTGGACCTTTACTGGCGCAATGACATTCCGCCGGAGAAGCTGAACTTGGGGTTTGGATTCTATGGACGTTCTTTTACTCTGTCAGATCCCGCATGCTACAAGCCTGGCTGTGCATTTTCTGGAGGTGCTGCACCCGGCCCCGTAGGTTACCAGATGCACGACTTCCAAGACCTGCGTAAAACATGCTAACGGGGACTGGGAGAAAGTGTACGAAGAACTCGGGCACCCTCGCATACCGAGAGATTGTCGACATCATCAAAGACAATGACCTCAAGCCATACTACGAGAAGGAGCACCAGATCAAGTACATTGTATGGAATCAAGACCAATGGGTCAGCTATGTAAGTCGTCCAAGTCATTGAAGCGTTTGTCTTTATAACTCGAAAATATTGCTGACACCAATCCCAGGATGATCCCGAGACGATTGCGGCCAAGATCGAATTTGCCAATAATCTAGGGCTCGGTGGTTTACTTATCTGGTCGGTGTGTACAAAGCCCTTTATCCTGCTATTGTGATTAAGCTTAACATTATGATTAGGTGGACCAAGACACTGATGATCTAGAAGCACTCAGCGCCGTTGTGGGCCCAGACATCAGTGCCCTGGCCCTCCATAACAAGAGGGCCGAGGACGCATCGTTTTGGCAAGACATGGGCGCCCAGGATTGCTATGTCACCGGGTGTGGTGGCGACTGCAAGACCGGCTTCAAGGAAATCACCAACCAACCTTGCGGCGATGCCACATGGCTTTTCCGGCACTCGACTGAGGACAACAGCAAGCTTTGCTGTCCTCTTTCTGCATCTCCAGATCCTGATGATTGTCAATGGCAAGATATCCCCTGTAGAAACTGCCCCCCGCGAGCCTCGACTAACAAACTCTTCCCAATTAGGCGAAGTGAAGCTCCCGAATGCAATGGCCGCTGTGAGCCTGGCGAGGTCGGCTTGCAGTTGAACAAGTGGGGCGATGGGGCCTATTGTGAAAACGGAAACAAGATGTATTGCTGCAAAACGGCGAGCGAACGTGAGAACAAGTGCTATTTCGCAGCCGAAGGTAAGAAGTGCAACAGTGGTGAAGGTCCTCTAACGTGGAGCGGAAAGTTCACCAAAGACTATGATGCTCTGGAAGACATTTACGATTTAAAAGGCGATGCCCTCATGAGCGCACTGGAAGACTACGATATATCGGACGTCTCGCTCTACTGCTGCCCACAAGAAGATCTTGATAGGTGGGACAACTGCGAATGGAAGGGCAGCCCTGACGGTGGAAACTGCTACGATGGCCACTGCAACCTCAACACTCAGGTTGAGGTGACTTGGGCCGGATCCGGTGGAGGCCGGAGCTGTGGCGGTATCGACCCGGGAAGGATCAGAGTCTTCTGCTGTGACCCTCCCAACGGCGAGACCTTGTTCCTACCGGTGGCCTTGGAGAACTTATTCCCGGAACCCCCGACTGGAGAGGACGTGAAAACGGACTTCGATTTGAACATTGACAACACGTGGGGGGACGGAACTGCCGACAACGAATCAGAAGATGACGCAAATGCAGCATCTTTCCAGTTTTACGTCCTGGCCAGCCCGTCTGAGATCCAAACTTCCCTCGACAAGCGAGACGGTTCACACTGGGAATTGTTCAACTGCAACGACGGGCTCAGTGATGGAGAGCAGACTGTACAGATGGTGTGCACGAAGGATTCCGAAGACAGCAACTGCCACGACATATACAAGGGTAACGGTGTGCATGGGACTATCATTCAGATGCCTCAAGGACAGGGCTGTGGCCCTGGAAAATATGCTGTTGCCAAAAGTCTTGAAGTTTCTCAGAACCAGACTTTGCCACGACATCTTGCCAAAAGAAAGCTAGGTTCCAAGGCGACCGTGTACGACCTAACATTCAACTATGACTTTACCATAGTTCCCAGAGAATTCGGCGATACTCAGATGCGTATCGACTTTTCGTGAGTAACCACTCTGCGTGGTAGCTTGATCCACGTATCCGTCTTTTTGCTCACAAACTCTTAGCAACCAGGAGGGTTACTGGAACACGATCGTGGCGGCTCCATCTTCGAAGAAAAATAAACGTACTCTTGCCGACGTCAATGGAAATCATAGACGCTGGCTAGAAGAAGAGTGGCGCGACGATTTCCACTACGGTGCACTTAGTCAGGAGGATTTGCACAAGCGATGGTTTGGCGACGACGCACTTGCATGGCTGAAACAACTCCTGAACATTGATGTCAAGATTGAGAAGAAGCATGACTATGAAGAGGAAATGTCAGTCATCATCCTCCAAGAGGAGTGGGAGTGCGGCAATTTCAAGGCCAAGGTCGATGCCGTTGCAACGGCTGGCATTCAGATGTCTACCTCTTTCGGCATAACGATCATTACCACCCTTGGCCCAGACATGGACCTCAGCAAGTCATACATTCATTTCAACAACGAGGTAAGTAACGAGTGGATCGGCAAAATACCACTGCTAACAATTCCCAGGGCAACATTGAGTCCGTCTTCACACTGGATGCACTGATGAAGATGGACTGGGATTCAGATGTCTTCACCATTGCTCCTATACCGATCCCCGGGGGTACTTGGACCATATACGGAATTGCTACTCGTAAGTCACCAGTCGCTTCCAAGGCCGTTCCGCAGATGCTGATATGAACAACACAAGTCGGGCCACGCTTCGACTTGAACGCGCGTTTCCGAGCTGGAGTCTCTCTTCAGGGCCGCATCGAAGCCAAGGCAGAGATGGCAAATTGGCGCATCCGTCAAACCTACCCGCAGATGGATGATTACGAGCCCGAAGAAGAGGATGATGTCAATCGTCAATTCCCCAGCGACGGCATCGCAAGTCCGAGCTTCGACGCTTCAGTCACTGCTGAAGGGTACGCCGAGGCCCACATCCTGCCTACGCTTGCCTTCGGCATCAAATTTGACAAGCAATGGGGTATTGACGATGCCGATGTTGAGCTCGTCGCCGATCTGTACGGTAGGGTCAGAGCAAAGTCAGATCTCGTGGGTGGAGACTGCTTGTTCGGCTACAAGGTAGAGGCCGGAGTCAAGCTGATAGCCGATGCACATGTTCCCGATATCTTCCAATGGCACCCTAGTCCATTTGAATTTGGCGCTGTGAGTTTTCTCTTTCCATCACCTCAAGGTTCTGGTGCGGAAAGCCGTGCTGACTCGTTGATAGCTGGATAAACGAATAATTCCCAGCAGTGGTGACAGTGAGTGGGAGTGTCTGACCGCTTCCTCGGCGCGCAGGGCCTTGCCAGCTCCCAACGCTACATTACCCTCTCACTCCATCATTGGCACGGGCTTGAGGAAGCGACTGGTTCCGTACGGTCCGGTCCTGACCCTGCCCAAAGCAGAGCAGCTTTGTCCGATCAAGGGAGGGTCTACCGAGCCTGGCGAATGCTCTGAGATCTACGCAGTCGACTCGTTTTACAATGTAGAGAGTGAGGATTTTGATTACCTACAGCCGTCGTCCATCACGAAAAGAGATGCAACGGACCTGAGTACTGCCTTGTACGAGCGAGGATTCCTTGAACGCCGCGCCAAAGGCAAGGATGTGAAGATCTGCAACACTCACAGCATTCACGTCAAGGCCTGGGATACTAGCGGTGCCTTCAATGTCTGGGATAACGGTGACTGGAGCGACTGCAACGACTGTAAGTTGAAATACCCTCCAACAAAGGTAGTGTGAAGATGGTGTGAAGAACATAGAGTGCTGATGGAGGACAACTGCGTGAAGACTCGTTCGGGAACCAAGGAAGCAGAAAGCAGCAGGTCCCAAGACCTCCGGGCAAGAAGTCTGCATACGACCGCTACGTTGTGGAACACGTCTTGGAAGCCCAGCTCCTCACGCTGTTCTTGAAGGAAGGGTACACCAGTGTGTGCAGCGATATGGGCGAGAGCGGCTCTGGTTGGTACCAAACCAATGTTGGGCTGGACCCCGTCGTCGCCGGCGCAAACCCGCGCTCCCCCTGGCAGTACATCGCAGACGCCTTTCCTTACAAAGCAGCGACGGATAATGGAAAAGCTTATCCAGCAAACCACGAGGACGAGTTTGTCTATGTCCTCGAGCCGATCAACATTGTCAAGGAATTCGCTTTCAAGAATAACGAGGCACTTCCTGGGAGTGGCGACATGGCCAAAGCTGTAGCCTCGGAACAAACGGTCGACAATGCCATCCGCACAATGAAGAACATCCTTCTGACTTACAAGTACATGACGGATCCCACAATCCAGGCCACACTTGTCACTCAGGCCCAGCGTGTCGCCGACCGGATGTCTGAAGTGGAAGATATCCTGGCGAACAACGCAGCATTCACGTCGGAGATCCAGGGTCTCGGCACTCTCTGGCTCACATTTGTCAAGGGTCGTACGGAGCTGGCCGCAAGCAAATTGGTCACGTTCCTCACCAACTGGATGCCAAAGATAGAGAGAGTGCTGGACGGGACGGATCCGGCGCAAGACGCCCAGAATCCAGGGCGGGCCACGCGTAGAGAGAAGATTAGCAAATTGAAGGAGGCAGTCGAGGGAAGAGGCCGGTGGACAAACCCACTGGGGTACGCTTGGTAGACATCTAGATAAGAAAGTTGGGGACATGACAAAATTGAATACCTACGCCCAAAGACACATAGATACAGCGGTTGCATTATTGGGAAGTGCATCGTGTACTCTATGTACATGGGGTGCGCCATGCCCAGAGTTTGCCAAGAAAAACACGCCTGTTGTTGGCTGGGTTACGTACAAGACGAGACTGACACTGGCACGGTCTAGACTTTGGCCAAGTCCAGCTTGCAGAATACATAAATAGATACCTATCGACACCCACATCTTGTTCATCTCTTTGACCACCCACCCACTAATTTCATGCTTGCGCATCAGAAAGAGGCAACATCCGACCATACTCGACTGGGTGGCCTGGCTGCTCATACCTCTGTGAGTTGTGTCGTGATACTTCCCTTCACCCTTTTAAGAGATGCTGTACTGATCCGATTCTCAGAAAAAATGGCAACTTCGGACACGCTCGATTTTGTCTCCTCCGTGGGCGTAGGAAGGATGTCCACGGTAGCTCAAAGTCGCATTGATTCGAGGACCTTCTCTGCCGTCCGCACAAACAGCAGTGCCGAGTCTCTGAGACAGTTTGAGGAAGCGTTTGCTCGCACCGATCTGCGGGGCCTAGTCAGGCGAATTGACTTTGATGTGATCCTTCCGCCCGTCAGCGAGAAACGCCTCGAGAACAAGTTTCAAAGCAGCCTGGAGGCTAAAGCCAATTCCACGGCCTTTTCGCGCGCCGTACTGGACCTCTTTGCTCGTTTATCCTCGTGGGACGCGAAGGGCATTGCCTTGAGGGTGACCGCCACATCGCCTTCTGATGACGAGACAATGCGCGCCACAGGTCGCAGCATTTCTGTAAGACCACGCCGAAACGACTTTCGATACATTGGCGCCGATCTTGCCGCGATCCCAGAAACAGGTCTCCCCAAGGTCTACAGCGTGTCGTCCCTTGACATGGAGAAGCTAGACTGTAATTCCGGTAACCCTTCTGGCAGGAGGTTACATCCGGACCTCCTCCAAGTCATGATGCTCTCTTTGCCTATGCTGGAGAGCGCCAAATGGGAGTTCTTTATGCCACCGCGTTCGAGAGGCCAGCGGCGACAGGAATTCCGTACGGCTCTGGCCGCTGCGCTCGATCGTTCCTCATTCTCCAGTCTGCAGAGTCTTTGCATTACTCTCCATGACGTCGACCCACGCAATGAGAATGCCGAGTTGGAGAGCTTTGTCGGCGATACGGGAGTCGATGACTTGAGCGCCGCCGTCCAGGGGATATGCAACAGCCCAACCCTGACGACGTTACGGCTGTGTGGCAAATGGAGCTTGTCGAGCACAGCATTTGAAAGAGGATTCGGCCCATCGGTCTCATCTGTCTATATCGATTTCTCTTCCATCTCTCCCTCCGGTAACTGGTTATTTGACAGTATTCCTCACCTCGCCGATGAGGACGAAACTTGCGACGATTACAACGACAACGACAGTGATGATGATGAAGCGTCGACTGGGGGCGACCTCTACGACTTCAACTCTGCAGACTCGGACGAGATGGATAATCTCGACTCAGAAGCTGAAGATAGGGCCAATTCCTTCCTGCCGGCGCAGGAGACTCGCGGGAGACCAAATGCCGACAATTTCCTGCCTCTCTTTGTCTCCGTGACCACAGCGGCCGCGAAATCATTCAATTCCCTCGCGCACCTAGAGGCTCACCTGATGGGAGGGGTGTCTCAGGTGCACCTCGGCTACTTTGGCTGCAGAGGTGGTCAAGGAAGGGAAACAGCTGAGTTCTCAGTCGACTGGCCTCACCCGTGGATACGAAAACGCCACCCTGGAGAGGAGCTGGACAAGCCAACTTGGTATCTGGCTACATGGGGCGCAGTTGATCCTGACGACTGGAAGATTCCACGGGCCCTGAGAGCGGCCATGGAGAGTTGCCCAACAGAGGTTTCTATCATGACGCATTCAAACATCAAAGCGTTGGAGTTTGAATAAAGAGCAACGAAAGCGGCTGTACATTGTAGTTTCCGTTCTGTTGCGGGCGGGTCAGCTCTGCAACGTTTAGGCCATCATCCAAACGAGTTCAATGAGTATGAATGGTAGGGGCCGATGCTATGTGGCAAGTTCTTGTTTATAGAACATGCTGTGATGGCTCGCTATCCTGATGGATATGAGATGGACATGAGGCTCTAGTGTGGACACGCCTTGATGGGTGTATTTGACTCGTACATGGGATGGTTTAAAGGCGGCCTTTGCTCTAGGTTTCGCTACAGCTGTGCTCTGCGACAGTCGGCCTTTTTTTTTTTTTTTTCCCCCAGAGCAGAGGCACCTGACTCATTCAATAGGCAAATACTTTCGCCTATATATGGTAGCAATCTTGCTTGACATGTCTGGAATCATCGGGCCGTGATTTTATACAATCAAAGATTACTTGTGCTTTCATCAACTCAATCCCCCGCGACTCGTCCATAAAAGACGCAGCAGGAAAGACCGCCCTTCGAACAACCCGTAGTATATTGCATCAGCGCGACATGTTCAAGAGATCTAATTGCAGACATTGGTAGGGCAATAGCAGTGAGTGTCGTTGTTCTGGCTTGGCTTGCCGGTGTAGCTGTGATACAAGGAGTATGTGAATACATGATGGCCAACGTAGGGGCAATTGAGAATTGAGAAATGCGATGGTAGCTGGAGATAACAGGATCAGATGGTATTTCATTTGATGCTGTACTTATATATAAATTACTCATGCTAAATTAACCGTTATGTATTGTAGGTATTAGAGAATTCGGCATCCCGTCCGCGCTGCCTTACCTAAGCTAGAGAGTTGTCCGTCGTATACGGCTGATTTCCGGCGCGGAGGAGGAAATCATTTGCCGATATTGAAGCTCTCGCCTAAGCCAATATTTGAAGGGAAAGATATGATCGGGAGAGCATAGAAAGATGTCAAGGTAGATCTAACTGTTCTACAAAAGAGAGGTGCTGGAGAGCGAACTTTATACCTGAGCAGGTGATCTGCGGTGGGTACTGACTATATAGGTACGTTAGTGCAGTAGAAGCTTTCCCTTGTTAGTGATTGGTACTACATAATAAGCCAAAGCCATAGTGCGGGAGTGTGTAGTATAAGATGGAAGGTACATGGTTAACAATAATGGAAGTCCAAGCCAATATTATTCATTAGCAGTGCCAGAACGGATAGAAAATCATTCAAGTGGCGGACCGAAAAGCGTAACTCCCGAGGTCTTGTCCGGGGTCCCTGATGCACCCCCACCAGGCCCACTACCTTAATGTAACACTGGAGGCAAGTAACGCAGTAAATAAGTTATTGTTATCTCCCGGCAGCGTGGCATAAAAGCATATTCTGCTTCTCAGTCTCTCTTTTTTTTTTTTTTACCCTTTTATTTTGCCTTTCACTTCTCACACCTGCCACTGTGCTATTGACGATGCGACACACGAGACAAGTTTTGGGTCGAGCCTCCAACCTTCGCAGCATTGTGACCCGGTCCATCGGAGTAGTGCCAGGTCCATTTCGAGGGATGAGCCCCCGTGGCTCATATCAAGCACCTCTCCGTCTACAACATGTCCGACCATTCTCAGATCAATTGCCCCCCGTGCCCCCCATGCCCGTGCCCCCCATGCCCCGCATGTTAGAAGATGAACCAGATGGACGAGGCATCGAGCATGATCTTCGCTATAATCAGCACGACAAGTGGGGCTGGGTCATCTACCGCACGGCATACGGCGACGACGCGGCATGGGAACGATTCAAGCAGTTCGTGGTGGACAACTCCCACCAATGGATCGTGGCGTCGAGCGTTCCCGGGATCGCGCGGAATCTCGAGTGGACCTTTGTGAGCGATCAGGAGGCCCTCGACGGCGCATCTACAGCGCAGCTTCGCGCCCGGTTCCGAAGCTGGGCTGAGGAGGCGATCAGGACGGAAAACCCGCGGGCGACTGAGGACAGTCTTTCTGGGGTATGGCCAATTCAACGCTACTCGTATTTCATTGCGGTCAACGAGGAGGCGCTGCGGTGCGTGGCGGATGTGAAACATCCACGCGACTGGCAGCTGGTTTGGGTCAAGTTCGTGAAAGCGGATTGGGAGTCCGACCCGGACGAGGACGACGGAAGTTACGAGTTGGTTGACGGCACCACAGAGGAGGACGTTGGATGGATGCTGATTATGTCACACACCATTGGAGCCGACTTCTACGATAGCCTGGGGGATGATGGGATGCATTGGTACACTTACTACACTCGCCCGCCAGACGTCTGCTGTCCCTGACATGCCAGACCCCAAAAGCAGCTTTATCAATTCCGGATAGCCGCTTTAAAAAAAAAAAAAAAAAAAAAAAGACCTCTTACAGGGCGAATTAACGAACAGCCTGGCTTGGTTTATATCCCTCAACCAATTCCTCGGCCGCTTTATGGTCACCTTGGTGGCATACAAGAAAAAACGCCAAATAGGCATCGTCGGTAGGTATTAAACCCGAAGTTACTCCATAATCTGGCCAAGGTAAGGTTCGTGGCAAGCGCGGCTCATCTTTACCATCGTCGTAATCGCCTGACATGGGTTACCTCACAGCCTCACGTTGTCCGAGATCCTGCTTACACTGGCGTTCAGCGTGGACAACTTCTGTGCATGTGATCTGCTCCCGCAAGGCTGCGAGGCATGCTTCTCTATCCATTACAGCGCTGCTTTAGGCAACCCAAGATGTGCATGTGATAGCGATGAAAGTCTTATGCCTCTTGCTCTGAGGGCAACAATTATGCTGTCAGCTTTATGACTACGTATTCGATTGGCACTGCGGTGAGATAAGTCGCTCCAATCGATATCATTCGGCTGTGGCAGGATGGGCAGCATCTGTGGATTGATGGCTCACAGCCAGCTAGCCCCCAAATGTCATTTTGTCGTTATGCAGCAGTGCAACAACATTGCCCACTACAGGAATCCAGAATCTACTTGAAAACTCGGTAGCACGACTTGGAACACGAGAACGATTCCAAAGACCGCCTTTTATCTTCGGATTTCAAATAGCTTAAACCTTTGGGGCAAAAGCAGGGACGGAATCTCGGTCAGGGGAGCCGTGAAAGCGTCGGTAGTAAAACAGGCAAAGAAAAGAATACCAGGCGCCAGCCCTTTACGAGCATCTCCGAGGCTGTGTATTAACCAGCATGCAAGAGCGGGCAATGGTCTCGAAGGGATTGACGCTGCCGTTTTTGCTTTTGTTTCTGATTCCTGGACTACCCCGCCCCATCATAATGTGACCCAACTTATTATTATTACCTCGCTACCGACCCGAATAGCCTTATCATCAGCATGGAAAATTCTCTCTGTTGAGGATGACGAGAGCATGAAACAATTCTACAGCTTCATAGCTCCCGCTTCCATATCCCCTTTGTTTAAACTTCCACACTCAAGACATCTACCATCTGAAAGTCATGGCGCTCTTATATGCCTACCAGGGTCTACCTGCGCAGCAATGCATTCGCCTCCTGCGCCTCCTCCCCAGTTTGGATGCCGCCAAACCACTCGAGGGTCATTTGTTTGAGTACTCCCTCTGGGACATGTACGACCAAATGGTCCCGTACGATGCTTTATCGTACGTATGGGGTGACCCGAATGCAAGCCATTCTATCCAAATAGACGGGCTCGCTTTTCCGATCACTGCCAGTCTCAATACGGCGCTATCATATTTGAGACATTCGAGGCGCGAAAGGATTATTTGGGTAGACGCCCTGTGTATAGATCAGAATAATGAGAGAGAAAAGGAACACCAGATCTCACTCATGTACCAAATCTACGCGTGTTCTAGTTGCGTTGTTGTCTGGCTTGGTGAAGAGAGAGACGGGAGCGATCAAGCAATCAAAGAGCTGTACTCACTTGGAACAGCGGCGCCCACTAATGGGGTGCTCAAGAATACAGCTTCAGACTACGTTATGAGATTGTTCCAAAGAGCCTGGTTTCGCCGTATATGGGTAAGATGACACACAAATCAGCCTTTAGTCCTCGATTCGGTGCTGATCGATCTTGATTAGGTTCTTCAAGAGGTCGGGGCAGCTCGACGAATTCAAATCCAATGCGGCAACTCCCAAATGGATGGGTGTGCTTTTGCAATTGCCATAAATCTTTTGCACCAATTGCCTGAAACTACTGACGGAAATGAAACATTGCAAAACACGATTCGCTCTATTGCTTATCTTATCAAGGGCTCGATCTTCAGACTCCCTTACAAAGGACCTGGTGCTGCGGCCGAAGGGGTTTGCACTTTCGGAGAGCTGGTGGACATGTTTCATGACAGGCAGGCAACTATTCCCCATGACAAAATCTTTGCGTTGCTTAATATGAGCTCGAATGACATGAGCAAATCTGGGCTATTGCCAGATTATACAATTCCGATTGGGGAGTTATTCCAACGACTGGTCCGATGCATCATCTCCCCCACGCTGACGGTCCATTCTCAGAATCATCAACAAGTCGCCGTGGTCAAATCTCGTGGTTACATTCTTGGAACTATCGACAAGGTCATGGGTGACATACTTGAGAACAATACGCAGCGAGTCTCTGTCAAATGGAACTACGACGTTATCAAATGGCTGGAAGGGGTTTCATCATGGGACATAGAGACTGGCATACCTTGGACTATCCGTGCATCCACAACACCCATCCGGAAAACTGATCTCGTCTGCCTTCTTGATGGTGCTTTAGCGCCTACCATCATAAGACACCATCACGATTTTGCGGTGATTATCATCGCAGCTGCTCCGTTTCCATTCAACACAGAATTCTCTGAAACAATCAAGATCAGCATGAGCGGTTGGTCACAAACTTCCTTTCCCGAACATGAATTCCTTCTTATTTGGGATTGGAATTACTCGCCAGCTGCGTATTCCCATTGGGAGACCTGCGCAGTTTGGGCCCGAGCTCACAATTGGGTCTTTCCAAAGTCGATGGCTGTTACGAATGAAGATCTCTACGGCACATCGGCCCAGCACTGGGCCTCTGCTCTCATATGTCTAGATGGACATGGAATGTATCGCGCCGCAGAGAGCTTTAGAGGGACATTCCGTATCATGAAAGAAATACTTGGACAATGCGGGTCAGATGCAACACTTGAAAGTCATTTCCAAGCCTTACTCCTACGAGATCATCCGCTGAGCACGGATGAGTTCCTATCTATTCTATTATACCACGCTGTGGAGAGTCGCTGCGAGTGCTTGGCGGATCTTCTCGTTGGGCAAGAGCGATTTGATCTTTATGATCAATCGGTAGGACAACGATCGATCTTAGCTTTAGCTTCTGAAGCCGGCTTCTTGAAAGTTGTCACGTGGCTCATTGAGAAAGAACAGCGCTGTACCTTCCCCCGACCAAATCATATTATGCACCACAAGGATTCACCCGAGGCTCAGATGCACATTGCGCGCTGTGTGGTGGAAGCAGCAGGAGCTGGCCATCTTGCTATCGTCCACCAACTTCTCCAGAAAAATACGCGCGACATGGAGTCGGGAATCATCAGAGAAGCAGAAATAAGTCTACTGTACACAAGTGCACTCTTTGCGGCGTCTAAAGCAGGTCATGTTGCCGTTATCAAGCGGATATTACAAGAAGGCAGGTACATCGACGAAGCTCTAGCACTGCCGGTGAGAAACATTGTAGAGGATGCTCACGATGTCATGTCGTTTTTGCGACCAAAAATAGGAATTGGCTTCTGGCAAGATCACAGCACTCGTGGAAGAACAGCACTTCAAATAGCTTCCGAAGCTGGCCATCTGACTGTTGCAAGCCTTCTGCTAAAGAAGAACGCCGAAGTTAACGCACTTCCAGCTC